TCCTCCATTATTTTTGGTGCGGCATGCAGTCCTTTTATAGCGCAGCATGTTAAAAATAAGAACGCCTTTGAAATGAGCGATCACTATCCTGAAGCCACCCACGAGATTATTCATAATCACTATATGGATGATTATATAGCTAGTTTTCATTGTTTATCCGAAGCTGCTAAAGTTATTTCCGATGTTTATACAGTACACAAGGCAGGTTGTTTCGAGATGAGGTCATGGATCTCAAACGATGCCAATGTATTGTGTTCCATCCCTAAAGAATTGCGTTCCATCCCTAAAGAATTGCACGCATAACCTGGTACTGAGGCTGAACTGCCGTCAGACGTTAGCGCTTTAGGAATAAAATGGAACCCTTTGAATGATACTTTGGGGTTTCGTACAGGGATTCTTGGTACCTTAAACCAAATATTAAATAAACGCATTGTCCTTTGAAATGTAATGAAAGTTTATGATCCACTTGGACTCTTGACGCCAGCAACCATAAAAGGGCGTATAATGATTCAAACTATGTGGCGTGAAGGGCTTAGTTGGGATGAGAAGCTTCCGATCAGATTTGAAAATTGTTATACTGATTGGCTAAAAGAAATGATGATTGCAACCTCGATCAGAATTCATCGCCCATCGCTACCCAGTTACATTTGTTTGCAGACGCTAGTGAACAGGCATACGCTTGCGTCGGATACTTCCGTTTTGAGTTCGGTAATGGACAGCTTAAGTTGGCCCTTATATGTGGCAAGGCACGTGTCACACCACTTAAGCCGTCCACTATACCTCGCTTAGAGCTTCAAGCTGCTCTCTTAGCGCTTTGTCTAGTGTCTACAATCAAAGAAAGCCATAGAATGAAGCCGTCTTCAACTACCTTTTGGACGGACACTTCTACTGTATTAAAATGGTTGCGTGGTGACCCACGGTGCTATAAGCCATTCGTTGCACATCGTGTAGGAGAGATCCTTGAAAATTCCCACCCTTCAGATTGGAGATGGCTTCCCGGTCATTTGAATGTCGCAGACGATGCGACACTAAATAATTGTAGTTTTCTGGACACGACGCACAGGTGGTTCGCTGGTCCCCCCTTTCTTTTACTTCCTCAAAAGGAGTGGCCGGAAGAACGTACCTCAAACGAGGTCGCACCACTTCCGGAAATGAAGGAAGAGGTTGGATTTCTCACAAATGAGCCTCTACAAGTCTCCGGTGCCAGACTCATTTCGATTTAGTGCCTGGCTCCGGTTACTGCGGGCTACCGCCTGTGTTTTATTAGGCGCGAGAAAGTTTCAGCTTCTTATTAGTTCCCCAAATCCAAATTCAAAATTACTTTCTTCTTCCCCGCACGAGATTTTAGCGTCTGACATGATGAACGCCGAGAGTATGTTACTCCAGAAAGCTCAAATGGATAGTTTCAAGGATGAAATTTTGGCCTTAAAGAGTTCGAAACCTATTTCAAGATCCAGTCGCCTTTCCTCCATGTCCGTGACAGATGGTCTCCTCACTTTGGACTCCAGAGACAGAACACAGACCAGGATTTTGTTAGACGATCGCTACAACATCGTTCGCCTATTGGTCACCCATCATCATCAAAAGGCGAGCCACGGCTTTCACGAACTAGTACTCAATGGGCTGCGAACACGCTTCTGGATCCTGAGAGGTAGAAGAGTCATTGAAGCGTAGCTGCCAAGTGCATGGAATGTGCTCGACGGCGGAGGAAGCCAGAAATACCGCCAACTGGTAATATCCCTGATTTAAGGTTAGAGCATAGCGCCAGGCCGTTCCCCAATGTGGGCTTGGACTACTACGGGCCAATTAAAGTGACAGTAGGGCGCCGAAGAGAGAAACGATACTGTGCGTTGTACACCTGTCTAGTGACGCGAGCTCTTCATCTGGAAGTCGTCGCCAGCCTCTCTACATATTCCGCGCTGTTGACACTTCGCCGGTTCATTGCCAGAAGAGTATGCCCCTCGAAAATAATATGCGATAACGGAACGGCATTCGTCGGAGCCGCCAGAGAATTGAAGGCGCTCTTGGACGACCATTCCAAGACTTCTTGACTAACAACAAGATCCAGTGGCATGTGGTAGACAAGGTGACGTGGCTCTTCATTCTTCCAGCAGCACCGTTCTTCGGAGGATCTTGGGAACGCATGGTACGAACGGTCAAGACTGCACTGAAAGCCACACTTCCAGACAAGGCCCCAAAAGAAGAGGTCTTCAACACATTTCTGCTAGAAGCGGAGAGCCTTATCAACTCAAGGCCTTTGACATACGTGGCCTCGGCTCACGACGCGCCTCAAGCCATTACCCCATTCAGTTTCCTGATCGGCTCCACTTCATCAGCAAACCGGCTCGTGGGCGAACTCTCCGATGCGGACCTGGTGCGACGTGCTGATTGGCGACATGTTCTACGCCTATCCGATCACTTCTGGAGCTGGCCAGCTGGTAGAGGCACATGCCACTTCAAGGAAGGCGACGTAGTTGTTGTTGCTGATGCAAAGTTACCTCGAGGACTCTGGCCACTTGGCAGGATCACTAAGGTTCACACTGGCAGAGACAACATTGTGAGAGTGGCTGAGATAGCCACTAAAGGAGGAGTGCTTAAACGCCCCACCCGAAAATTAGTTTTATTACAGTCGGCTAACCAGTCAGCCACCACACTTTAGATTCTGCTCTGCATCAGTGGCCGGAAATGTTAGCGACTGGCTGGTTAATCATAGTCATTTTAATTATATTCTTTTTGTCATCCTTTTTATTACTAGTCTCTTTCAATTTTGCTTTTGCTTGTCATGCTTGTCATTCTTGTTGTTCTTGTAATTGATAGTATTATATTTTATTTCTACTTGCAAGGCTTGCTTTTATTTGCCCGTCCACTTATTCGATAATATTGTGTAAGACCCTTCACTCACATTTCGATACTATTTATGTACGATCCTTGTGATTTAGGCAATTGGCAATTGGGTGAATTATGGCAAGTGGAGTACTTGAATATGTTGAGGAACATGATGGAGGCGTAGGCAAAACTTCTAGGATAATTTACATGTCCACTATACTTTCACATTTGAAAGCATAGTAGATATATAAATATAATTATTCCTTGATAAAGGGACCTACTCGTATATAGGAGTCATAGCGAAATATTCAATACAAGCCGTAGGTAAAGCTTATAAGGAAATATACTTGTTTTAACTTAGCATTTTACCCTAAAGCTAAGGTTAGTACTGTAAGTAAAAAGGCCTATGACCGAGATTACTGGCAAAAAGTAAACATTCGCAAAATATACGAGAAATTACATCACTCAACGTACCTAACCTCTACCTTAGCGTGACGTAACCTTCACGGCGATTACAGAGCGGCGTTCATATCTGTCATCAAAAATAAACAAACGCGGAAATATGGAGCACTGTAAACAGACGTGAAGTTCTTTGTATCAGTTAGTACTTTGATAAAAATGTATTTATTGGTAGTCAGAGGTGGGCGTACCTATGTAGTACTTACGTAACGAAAACACTGATACAGTACCTAACTCGTACATCACTTAGTTAATATACAGGTACTTTCTGTTCAGGTATGTCAATGGGCGTGTGAAACTCCAAGATCATGTTATGATAAGGAAAAACAATGTACGAACAATGCGGTTTTAAAAGTAACCATTAAGATGAAATATCATAAGATCAGCCTTTTCTTACAAGAAATTCCTTTCAAGAAAAAGGATTTAATTTAGCCTTTTTCAATTGCCTGAGAGCGTCACCTGTAATTGATATTTTAGAACGTTTCTTATATTATGTTTTAGTATGACAGAATCGTAATTTAATCCTAATTATTAATGCGGACGCCAATGGTGTCGATTCTGGCATGATTCTCTAAATCTAAACTAAAATTTGACAACAGTGTATCCTTGATGTTAAATTTACTTTTAAGTTTAGAGAAACATGCCAGAATCGCCACCAATATATATGTTAAATAAATACGAGTAACATAAAGAACAAATGAGCGGTATTGACCCAGTTTACAACTCTGTAATGACGCGGAATTTTGCATGTCATACAGAATGAGTGTTATGTAGATTTTTTTGTTAATGTAATTGTTTTATTGTACTATTGATTAATTATTTAAAGTAGTTAAGATCTTTTTGTCTGAAACACAGGATATTCTTATGTATTTTTCTTTACCTTTTGTGTTTTTTCTTAGATCTAAGACACTTATATTAAAAATTTTATTATATTATTATTATAATTTATTGTTATTTTACAAAAACGTTTCAAACATTATTAGTTTATATTATTAAATGCTATACCGTCATTGTTAATAGAATTACAATCGAACTAATTAGGTATAATTACGTCATTGGCGAACCATTAAACTAACCGTGTAATATAATTCCTACATTTTTTTATAGATAGGTCCGACAAATGGCTCCACCCGACCTAATGTTAAGTGATTTTGAAGTCCAGACGTAAAGATAGCTGGTACAGCAGTTCTACCTGCCACACCAGCCATCCTTACCTTGCCGGCCTGCATGTTGCTTCTTCACGCCGCCGCTTTAAAAAGGATTCCGGGTTGTAAGGAGCATAGCGTATAAACAAGTTAGAAACATAACGGTATAGAGTATTAGATACTCTACACAAGATGGATAAAATATCGTTGCTTGTATATTTTTAAGGGCGCAGTAAATTAAGCCATCACGCCCATCGGCGGTGTGATTTAAAATTTAAACACTGATTTTAAATAAATTTCTAAATCACACCGGCAAATTCCGCGATGAAAAGTGAGTATGTTTGTATTATAGCACTGCTGACGTTGTGTTGTTGGAAATTTACTAACTAACAGAAACAGAATTAGTACATAATTCTATCTTCATCTTAATATTTAAATTAAAAGAATTCACGCCCTTGTGGACTACAGTGGACCAAATACTGTAAACGTATATAACATTATTTTATCCTTACTTCTATTTTCAAAAGATTAAAATTATGTCATAATTTTTTGACCTTAAGTAGCATCTACCTCTGATCTGGTCAATTGGTGATTGGCTGGCGCCGGAAGACCCACTTCCTGCTGAGGTGACAGCCACTGAAAAAGACCGACAAATTATAACAAGTAGCACTTCGATATCGAAATTCTGCATTTGTTGAAGTTAAGCAACTTTTTCAAGGACCTCTCATCGAATGGGATATTTTTTATCTCTTTATGAACTGCTCCGTGTTTAGAAAGGTTGACAACATTTATCTTCAGTGTCATGTTTCTGCGTGAGTATGGTTTCTAAAACTCTCAGATAGTTTTTTTGTTATATTTCAGGTACAGCGAAAAATTCAAATATGCAATATAAATAAAGAGACCAGTGCCCTGATAAAAAAAATCAAGTTTAAAAAGTTATTAGAGTCGGAGGACAGGACTGTGGTTTCTTGTGAAAATGAGAGCTAAGGTAAATGTCCTGACTTAAATATGCCTTTTTGGACCTACTTTTTGACGTTTTAGTCTTGTCTCGTGTCGTGTACTGACTGTGTTTTAATTTTCTGAGCTGTATTACTTTTCAATGCACTTTTTTGTAAAAAATTATATTTATCGTAAAATCATGAATGGAGGATGGAAAAAAACAATTTATCAAGTTATAACGATAAAGAGATAACAACAAATAAAATTATCTTTGATAATATCAGTAAGGCTGGCCGCCCTGGGGGGTATACCCCTTACTCTCTATATTAAATCATTTCATACTGAAAATAAAATCGGAAATTGGGTAGCAAAATTATGTGCGTAGTTGAAGGCTTAAAGATACACAATAACAATTTGGTACGTTGACGAAGGTAACACTCATTAATCATCTTGTTTTGTTAACAGCTGCTTGTTTTCAGGTTTGTTAACTATATTACTGAAACGTGCTGTTGTTGTTTGAAATATGATAAGAAAAGATAAGGGTTCTGCTAGGAAAGTCTTATCTGACACGTATCGTACATTTAGATAAATAAGTTCCAAACTGTGTCCGCCCCGCATCTAGGTATTATATTTGACAAAGTTTTAAATTTAGAAAGAAAATCTACGTGGTCCAGGCAGCAGACAGGACTCGAAACCGCACCCTTTCGCTATCCGGGCGGATTGACAGACCAATTATGCTACCGCGACCTCAATGACCGTGTTGAAAATTCTTTAGATTTAATCTTTCGGAATATTCTGAAATTGTGACAAAAAAAAGGATTTTTCATAACAGATATATTGGCATTACCCAATTGACTGGCATAGTCATAGAGATAGAAGATACATGTGCACTGCGAATATCAATTTTACGAACGCATTCAGAACAGACGTCAATAGGCTAGTTAACCCTTTTTGGAAAAAGGTTTTAAATGGTTAATAAATGTTCTATTAGACCGAAAAAAATGTATTGTATTTTTTTGAGACCTAGTAAACTACAAATATTTAATTTTAAAATAGACTTTTCATTGACATATAGGTAGCTTTCCAATTACAGCATTATAGCGCATTATGCGGCATTATGCTTATCGTTGAGTGTTTCAACTACAGCAACGCTTCGTACAATAGAGCACTCTCAAAAGTAATGCTTTCGTGTGATGCGTGCAATCGTACCAACTCAGAGACAGAAAATTAACAAGTGTTTTTTCTTTAAGTTGGCATTGATCGAAATGTTTTATTTATATGTTATCTTTAGTAATATTATTTATTTTTGAAAAAATATTAAAACTTTCGTTTCATTATAGTTTTTTTTAAATAATCAAACTTAATTCAAACTGTGTTAAAAATTAAATATAAATATGGAAGAAGGTACAAAAAACATTGACTTTTCTTTCAACACTGAACTTAGCGCTCTCTGCTGGTGCATTTGAAAACTAATTCACGTTCCAATTAAGCATCAGCATAATTCGGCAATGTGCGCCACTGAGTCGTATTATGCTCTGTAATTGGAAAACCACCATAAAAACGCTGTCGGCCATTTTAGTCTATAGATTATCTATGCTATGACGTCAACCTGTAGTAAACAAAAACTCGTAAACACTTAGAAAATAACTTATCTGAGTTTATAATAAAAAAAACATGATTTCTAATAAATACCACGAAAAATAAAGTAATTATCATTTTTGTATTGTACGAGAATATAAAAACACATCCTTGAAGACTCCAGGAAAGTTGTGGATTAAAGTGCCGAAATAAATTAACCTACGCAACTTTATTACACTTATTCATATGTTGTATCAGTTTTATGTTTGTTACTACATTGTAATACTAAATGCACTGTACTTACATAGATGCCTTGTCGTTTTTCTGAAATCGGGGTTTAGTGCAATTAATTCACCAACCATCAATGAGTCAATTCTTGGCAGATTTGTGCTTTCTGCTTTCACAAAGTCGGCATCCATAATTAGTTTTGTCCAAAAAAACAGTAAACGGAAACTTTTCTAAAGTTTAAGTGTTTTAAGATTTTAGTCAGACGAAAGAATTCACCCACAGTAACACGCGAATGACATTTAGTTCTTTACTACAACAAGAAACGTCACAACCATGGCGGATGTGGCGAACAGCGTTTTTAGTGTTTAAAAAATATAGATTAAAATATAGATAAAAATATTTTTTTAAATTAAATTTCAACAGCAATCTTCTGCTTTTATTATTTAGGTTTCTTAGACCAAATACTTTAAGAAATAAACATTTATTTAATGCAATTCGACATGAGTATATGCTTTATTCTATTCCTTACGCAAAAGTGACATCATCAATTTGAATCAGAGTGACGTATTAGAGTGAATGCGTTGTACTATAATGACAATAAATTCATTTTTGTGATTTCTGGGAATGACGTGATGCCTATGACGTGGTGATTGCCGGCCGGAATAGCAAAACTAAAAAAAGAGTATGCGAGACTCAACTCAGTCAATCGATAAGCATTATTTTATGTTAAAAGGATGGAAAACAAGCTTATAGCCCGCCTGATGGTAAGCAGCCAGAATAACCTATAGACGTTTGCGATATAAAAAAAAATATCACTCACCCAATCCCCTACCCCGTGGAGCCCTGGAACTTTACTCACCGCCAGAAACACAACACTACCAAAAGGTAGTATAACTTATTATTTTACTGTGGTCTTCTATAAGGTGGTTTACTTCCCAAGACGGGCACTCCAATAGGGTATTTGACAGTATTAAAAATAAAGTGCCAATTGTTAGCATCTGTGTTTAGAATGAATATTGGCAGGGGTTTTTAATATCCTTACAAAAAGAATATTCATAATTTTACTAAAAACCCACGAAAAAGATAAGAGTTTTCTTATCTATTGTCACGTGACCCAAAACGCTTGGGTTGGCGGAGCCTAAAATGACGTCACAAGCAACTAAACTTCCGGTTAAAGTGACATTACATTGTATCGTTTGACGTTTTAATAACAGTCGTGTGACGTCACACACTAGTAAGACGCCATATTGTCCAAAGAAATGTTTTCGCGGCAACTTGCAAATGGAGTTTTTGATTTGGTCATTTTTACTGAAGTAAACAACAGAATGATGAATATCCACTTTTTACGGACTCCATAAACATTAGTCATTAACGTGAGATAGTTTTCTAAAACTTGTCAAATACCCTATTCGATCGGCAAATCCATTATGTTTAAAAATTAAGTTTCCTAAGATGCCAGAGTGCGGGCATATCTTGGCACCCTGTTAGGATTGGCCGCGTACCCGCCGGTGGTGCAAATAAGCACCCTGGCGATATGAAATGGTTAGGCTGAGCTAGATGGTACAAGAAATTAAAGTGATAATAAGTTTCGTCCCTGGATGAGGATCCGACTTCTCTGTGGAATCAATGCACAACAGGGTATTTGACAAGTTTTAGAAAACGATCTTACGTTATTTACTAATGTTTATGGAGTCCGTAAAAAAGTGGATATTGATCATTCTGTTGTGTATTTCAGTAAAAATAACAAAATCAAAAACCGGAACCGGAAAAAATCCGGAATGCTTGCAGCAGCTGAAGTAGATAGCCTATCGGCTATCATTAGGAAACGCGTCGCGTCCCTGCTGCAGCGAGTGCGGGGGAGCGCCAACAGCCTCTTGCGGTCGTGGCGAGACTGGGCGTGGACAGTGCTATTATGCAGCACTGGACTCGCGTCCATCTCGTCAAAGACACAAAAATAAATTATAACTATTTTATGAATATTTATTAATCAATTATTTAATATAATTTTGAATTGTACTAACATAGTTTTAAGCTTCCATTGTTACTAACACTATATGGACTCTGGTTCGAAATAAACATATTGTACTTTTATTTTTTATTTAAAAACTACATCCTCGTCTTACTAGTGTATGACGTCACACGACTGTTATTAAAACGTCAAACGATACAATGTAATGTCACTTTAACCGGAAGTTTACTTGCGTGTGACGTTATTTTAGGCACCGCCAATCCCAAGTGTTTTGGGTCACGTGACAATAGATAAGAAAACAGTTACCTTTTTCGTGGGTTTTTAGTAAAATTATGATTTTTTTTGTAAAAATAGTAAAAACCCCTGCCAATATTCATTCTAAACACAGATGCTATCAATTGGCACTTTATTTTTAATACTGTCAAATACCCTATTGCAATTCTTACTATATTCCGAGAGCGATTCAAACTTTATCTCTCTTGTGAAGTTCAGCAGCAGCAGCTCGCGCTACGATACGTAAACCTGTCTTAGAACTTCAAACACTTTTTAACTTTTTTGATCTGATTTGTTCGGTAATAGTTGATTGTTCCATCGAGCGCAAAGTTACTTAATAATGCACGAGTGTTATGTTGGTGCCCGAGTGCACTAAATTAACACGTATGCATTAATTACTCACTTTAGCAAGGTGCATAATCTACTTTTTTTTTCAACTACCAATCTACCCCCCGTAATAAAATATACCTCCTCAGAAGAAAACTCAAATTAATGAAAAATATGTAGTTTGCAAAGTCATCGATAGATGGCGTTACTGTTGTTTTCACTATTTTTTATGATTGTTCTGAATCACGATATTTAGTTGTTTCTTAAGACACTTAAATTCAATCGTATTTTGAAATTTAATTATTTCGTAAATAATAAACACCATCCGCCATATCGTTTGAAAAGAAACTTCGTTCCAATTAAAATAGTGCAATTATGAAAAACAATAAAATTTAGCGTTGCAAAAATATAGATAGTTGACCTCGAAAATCAGTCACAATATCAATAAGACAATCGATACTAACGATAGTCAATAGTTCGCAATACTATTGATGAAACCTAAAACTATAGATTATAGCGATACTATTGAATTTAGATACAATGGATAGTTTCTCAATACATCAATAGTATTGCAAACTATTGGCTACCGATAGTATCGATAGTCCTCTCGATATTGTGACTACTTTTCAAGGCCATGATAGTATCGATAGACTATCGATATTAACATACTATTGCTTGCAACACTATTCGGCACTGTTTGAATTCTAAGCAAAAAATACGTCCTTTGTCGGTCGGTTTCGGTTCGGTTCGGTTTTTGTAGTGATTAATGATAACATTACTACGTAGTTGAAAGAAAAATATAAAAAATAGCAAACCCCTTTCTTGTTGCTTCACCCGTGCTTGTGCTCGCTGCAATTCTTTGCTCCATGCGTTCGTTTCCGACAGTCCCTGATCTCCGCACAACTTGACTATCAACTTTAGACCTGCACGAATATATTATTAAACAATGTAAATATTAAATATCATCATAATTACGTTTTATTCAGCCCCAACTTGTCTGTAGCGGTCGAAACTCACCATCATTTCGCAAAGTCGGTTAACAAGAAAACCGAACTTCAGCGCATGGGTGTACGCGGCCGTCTATTGTTCGTAACTACATTCACAGAGGAGGTGCGCGGGCGCGGGGCGAGCCAGCGCCGCCGCCGCCAGGTACACACAGCAGACGGCCGCGCTCGGGAGTGCTAAGACGATTACGGCGGCGAATGCACGCTCAAAAATTCGATCCGCCAGTACAAAAATTTCCGTGACTATTTACATAGGACGTATGCTAAAGTGTACCGTGCGCAATCACAGATGTAAACATTGTCCCAGTGCTTGAATACCATACGCGAATAATTAAATATATAAAGCTGTGTATCTTGTACTGCAATAAATATTTCATTTAGTAAGTGCCGTGCCTAATTTATCTGCCTAAACCAGCTATATATTGGTGACCCCGACGAAGGCAACCTTCTGCAACGAACATAACGGAGTCGATATTCAAAAATGGATGGAGTTAAAGAGCCCTCAGGCACCGCCGAAACTTGTAAGATAGGAATAAAAGCGCCACCATTTTGGCCGGAGGAGCCAGCGCTTTGGTTCGCACTTATGGAAAGTCAATTTTCGTTAGCTGGAATAACGTCAGAAGCTACAAAATACAGCCATATTTGCTGGGCACTGGATCAGCAGTACGCTAAGGAGGTGAAAGATATTATAAGCAACCCGCCGGCGGAAAACCGTTACACAAAATTGAAAACAGAATTAATTAATCGGTTGTCAGCTTCGCAAGAAAAAAAGGTCTTACAACTTGTGAATCACGAAGAAATGGGAGATCGTAAGCCGTCACAGTTCCTGAGGGATCTTCAATCGTTGGCTGGATCGTCTGTGACAGATAAGTTTCTACAAACTTTATGGACAGATAGGTTACCTACTAACATTAGAACAGTAGTAGCAACGCAAAAAGCTACGCCATTAGAGGAATTGGCGGAGTTAGCGGACAAAGTTTATGAGATTGTACCCCCATCCCCACAAGTTTCGATAGTAGATCAACAACAAATTATTACTAGTAATTCGCTTAATACGAACACAATAGTAGAACTTTCTAGAGCTATGAGTGAACTAACCCGCGAACTGGCATCGCTGAAATGTCAAGTAAACAGTATTCAGTCTGGTCATTCAAATCAACGTAGATCAAGATCAAAATCGAGGAACAGGTACTACCATCAGCGCCACAAGTCTAGATCTAGTTCTCGAGACCCTAATATCTGTTGGTATCATCACAGATTCGGCAACCGATCAACAAAATGCACGAAGCCATGCAAGTTCGAAGCTTCAACGTCGGAAAACTTCAGGGGCAGCCGGAAGTAGCGGCCAACGACTGCCAGGCAACAAAGGGCCGCCTTTTCGTAGTGGATCGCAGCACAAAAATTAAATTTTTGATAGATACCGGCTCTGATTTGTGTGTGTACCCTCGAAAATTACTTCGTGACCGCCGCGTCAAGACAGAGTATAAATTGTTTGCTGCAAATAGTACAGTCATTCCTACATTTGGTTGGGTGCATCTTAATGTTAACTTTGGACTGAGACGAGTTTTTAACTGGAGATTTGTAGTGGCAGAAGTATCAAAGCCCATAATTGGAGTCGATTTTCTCTCTTTTTATAATCTTATGGTGGATTGCAGGAACCAACGACTAGTCGACGGAGTCACGAACCTGTCCGTCACACTGCCGTCAGAAAACACCACAGAAGTCGTTTCATCAGTGAAGGCAGTGGCTGGAGATACAATATACCATAAGCTGCTACTTGAGTACCCAGACATTACTCGTCCTGCAGGAACACTGAAAGAGCCCAGACATAGTACAGTTCATTATATACGCACGACGCCAGGCCCACCTGTTTCTAGTCGCCCACGACGACTCCCACCTGATCGCCTGAAGGTAGCACAAAAGGAATTTGAAGACATGGTCAGCAATGGCACAGCAAGGAGATCGGAAAGCCCGTGGTCTTCTCCACTGCATTTAGCACCAAAGAAGGATAATGGTTGGAGACCCTGTGGAGATTACCGCGCTTTAAATGCTCGTACTATTCCAGACAAATACCCGATACGGCACATACAAGATTTTAGTCATCTTCTAGAAGGAAGTAGAATCTTCTCCAAGCTTGATTTTTTTAAAGCGTATAATCAAATCCCCGTATTTAGCCAGGACATTCCGAAGACGGCGATCACGACACCCTTTGGGTTATACGAATTTCCATATATGACGTTTGGTCTTCGGAATGCAGCTCAGACTTTTCAGAGATTTTTAGACGAAGTGCTGAAGGGGCTTGATTTCGTGTACGGGTATATTGATGACATTTTGGTCTACTCTAGAAATGAGACGGAACACCAGCGCCATCTACAAAAGGTATTTCAACGACTCAGTGACTACGGCATGCTCATAAATTCATCCAAATGTGAGTTTGGCGTATCTAAACTGACTTTTCTAGGACACGAAGTCTCCGCTGAGGGCCTCCAACCCCCGAGCAGTAAGGTAGAGGCAGTGATGCAGTTTCCTGTTCCGAAGAATGTGAAAGAACTAAGGAGATTCCTAGGAATGGTAAATTTTTACAGAAGATTTATACCAATGGCTTCTTCTCGGCAGGCTCCACTGAACGCCGCGTTATCTGGACCAAAAAAGAAAGGATCTCATGCCATTGACATGACCCCAGAGATGATGGAAGCATTCAACTCCTGTAAGTCAGCACTATCACAAGCCGCAATGCTTGCTCACCCGAAGTTCAACGCAGAACTGGCAATCCACACAGACGCATCAGATACGGCTATAGGGGCAGTACTTCAACAGCGTGTAAACCACTCTTGGCAACCACTATCGTTCTTTTCTAGGAAGCTCAAAACATCACAAAGAAAATACAGCCCCTACGATAGAGAATTGTTGGCAATCTATGAAGCTGTCCGGCATTTTCGTCATATGGTCGAGGCCAGAGCATTTATCATTTTTACTGACCATAAGCCTCTTACGTTCGCGTTTTCAACAGGAAGAGATAAATGTTCTCCAAGACAATTTCGCTACCTCGATTATATATCTCAGTTTAGCACCGATATTCGTTACATCACGGGAGCTGAAAACGTGGTGGCAGACGCACTTTCAAGAGTAGAATCAATCAACCTTTTAGACTATGAAGCGCTTGCACGAGCTCAAGACTCAGATCCTGAACTGCAAGAGTTATTACAAAAAGGTTCTTCACTTACCCTGGAGCTAATCCCGTGTGCAGACACAGATATCAAAATATATTGTGATACGTCGCAAGGAAGATCAAGGCCATACGTACCTGCGTCCTTCAGGCGTTCGATGTTTGATTCTCTGCATAATATGAGTCACCCAGGAGTCCAAGCATCAGTAAAGTTAATAACACAAAGATTTGTGTGGCCTGGAATAAAGAAAGATTGCTGCAAATGGTCTAGGGAATGCGCAGATTGCCAACGCTGCAAAACCTTTCGCCATACTACCTCTCCTACCTCATCCTTTTCCAGCCCGACTCAACGTTTTTCCCATGTCCTTATGGACATAGTAGGGCCGCTAACCATTTCTTCTGGTTACAGGTATTGCCTCACTGCCATCGATAGATTCACGCGCTGGCCTGAGGCGTACCCTCTACCGGACATAGCTGCGGAAACCTGCGCAAGAGCTTTCATTGGGGGCTGGGTAGCCCGTTTTGGCTGTCCCCACAAAATAACCACAGATCGGGGCAGGCAGTTTGAATCAGAGCTGTTCAAGAATCTGGTCAAAATACTAGGCGCCGAGCATCGTCCGACAACTTCGTATCACCCCACGTGCAATGGTATGGTTGAACGTTTACATCGCCAGTTAAAAGCTGCCATTATGTGTCACAATACTATCAACTGGACCGAGGTGCTCCCACTGGTCTTACTTGGTATACGGACTGCGTGGAAAGAAGACATTAGAGCATCAGCAGCAGAGTTGGTCTATGGGGAGGCCTTACGCTTACCTGGTGAGTTCTTCGTGCCTTCCAGAGAAGCCCCATGTGACAGCAGCGAGTTCACCAACCGACTGAGGCGACACATGACGAACCTGAATCCAACACCCGTACACTGGCATTCAAACAAACCATTCTACATACCGAAAGACCTGTATCATGCCGACTACGTGTTCCTGCGCCAAGGTGCTCCAAAGAAGTCCCTGCAGCCTCCATACGCAGGGCCTTACAAAGTATTGGAGAGAGGAGAGAAGTCTTTCAAGCTAGACTTACATGGCGCGCACCCTACTGTGTCGATAGATAGGCTGAAGCCAGCACACATCACCGTCAGCAAAGATGAGGCCCAGAAAGTTCACACTTCCCCAAATACTTCATATTCAGGAGCAGCCAAGAGAACCAGAAGTGGCCGCACAGTTCACTTTCCTGATTACTATCGCCCGTAGCAAGCCACGGTCTCGGTGGGGGAGTGATGTAGCGGTCGAAACTCACCATCATTTCGCAAAGTCGGTTAACAAGAAAACCGAACTTCAGCGCATGGGTGTACGCGGCCGTCTATTGTTCGTAACTACATTCACAGAGGAGGTGCGCGGGCGCGGGGCGAGCCAGCGCCGCCGCCGCCAGGTACACACAGCAGACGGCCGCGCTCGGGAGTGCTAAGACGATTACGGCGGCGAATGCACGCTCAAAAATTCGATCCGCCAGTACAAAACTTTCCGTGACTATTTACATAGGACGTATGCTAAAGTGTACCGTGCGCAATCACAGATGTAAACATTGTCCCAGTGCTTGAATACCATACGCGAATAATTAAATATATAAAGCTGTGTATCTTGTACTGCAATAAATATTTCATTTAGTAAGTGCCGTGCCTAATTTATCTGCCTAAACCAGCTATATGTCTAAATTCTGTTCTGAACTCCTGAAAATCTCCTGACGTTTCGGAGCCTTTCCCGGCTCCGCCATAACAGAAGAATGACGATAGAAGACAACGATTTATTTAAAAATTAATAAGCCCGCTCTTGCCTCTTTTAAATGTGTATATCTTTCAATTTTGCTATTTAATCTACCTCTTTATCTATCTATACGCCGAGTCCGACAGTGAGAATAGAGCGCCATAAGTAATGTTCTGTGCACACATCTTTCGTTTCATTCACATGCCTTACTTTTTTCATTCACGCCCGCCTGTTTTTGCAGTTTCTGACGCCACCTAGCTTCAAAATGCGACCAATTTGATCGTGATAGGTGAGTCTTGACTTGATCTTCCCCGGGTTCGACGTCCTTCCACTATCACGTCGTATATCTGTTACGTCATTCTCTCATTAGACATTATTTATACATGTCCGAAATAATGGAGCATGCTTCTGTCAATTTTAACACCAATACTGTCTTTCACACCGAAAATTTTTCTTGCTGATGCTATTAAATAATGATTTTAATAATAGAAATTTTAAACAGAAAACTAGAAAAATTGTTCCCATTAAATTTATATATTATTAATAATCTTTATTTAATATACGCAAAGGATCTAACCATTTCTCCATACAACTCTACCCAATCTTGTCCTCGAGTATTATCATGCATTTAATATCGATAGCAAAGTATGCCGAGCCAAAAACCGCGCTTGAAAATTTGCGCGCATAAATCGCCTCACCTCCAAAAGATCTACGAATAATACTCACATTGAACGTTGTCGGGGAACCGGGAGTTCATCTTCTTGTATAATACGAGAGCCTCTTGATAGCGTCCGTTCGCTCGCAAGCACCCGCCCATCAGCAAGCCCCAACGCGGCTGTACACCACAATCATTTATTAAATAAGCGATTAGATGCTAGAGTAACGGATGGAATACACATATATAAGTATATTTTATCTAGAAATATAACAAAGTACAAATGCTGGCATTCATCATTCTGACGTTTGCCCCCACCGGGACTCGAACCCGGGTCCTCTGAGTAGGCAAAGCCATGAAACCCGGCGTATATACCACTCGGCCACGGAGGTCGTCAAATAACCTAATAAAAACCTTAAAGTTACCTAAGCTTGAAGTTTATGAGTAAAGGTATACACCTCTTTCTATTATACCTAAACAAAGACTGGAAGCAGCACATGCAATGTTTTATTAACGCATCAAACGACGACAGTCAAAATATTGTGAACAGAGATAATACATTAATTCCAGCTTACATTCTGTTTACGAATAAAATTTGCGGTTAAGTGATTTCGGTCAGTTAAAATATAATACGGGATGAAAGTGTGTATGAAACTTTTTATTTATAAAAAAGTTCGTTAAATGACTCGTCTCTACCTGATGTTAAGTGACCGATGGAGTCCAGCCAGACCCAAATATAGTTGGTACAGCAGTTTTGCCTGTCACACCAGCCATCAAAAATTTTGCCGGCCTGCAAGATGCTTATTCACGACTCTTTTTGAAGCAGAGATGATTTTCCAGAGAGTAGTGATACAAAAAATTACTTAATAACTTTTGTTCCTGACTTTTACGAGCTCATTTACCAATATGTTTGTTTTTTTATTAACAAACTAGTTTTAAATTATAGCGCGATTAATTACGGACAGAAAGATAGTTTATTTACATACATTTCCAGGCTGCAACCGTGCGGCTTTTCTATAATATTGTATCGCGACTTCGGGTGGCGATTCATTCGCAAGCCACTCCAGCGCAGATAACTCGGAAGGCCAGACCGCCTCTACCTGCAACATAAAGCAAATATTGTATTATTTTTAAAAACTATCGGTAGAAACAATAGTTTAAGAAATATAGATTGTGTGTGTAGGACGATAAAGTTTTAATAGTGTGAGATTATATCAATCAATTCAGAACTTAAAGTAAAATAAGTTAAGGTTAAATATATTTTTATACAAGGCCTAACTTATAACTTCAGCTCATCTTGTGTAAAATGTGAGCAGAGTCAAAGTAAATTTTGGATAGCGTAATGTCATACCAAAATGACATCAGTCGTACAAACATAATTATTGTTTTTTGTATTTTTATTTATGATATTAAGTGACAGTACAAACGTTATTTGTTTATTAAACAAACGAGCTTTAACAGCCGAGTGAAAGTTTGCACTTACTAATTATATTCAGTTTTTGATGAGCGCCATCTAGTGGAAAGGCAGTGAAACTCCATAGTGAAAAACCTTTACGTAGACTGGGCATATCACAATAATACCTGCAACCCTGTGAAATGACAAGGGTAGAATCTACTAACGTACTTAGAAAAGCAAAATAATTCAACTTACATCTTGATAGTGGTGTTTAGCAGTTTGTACGTCCCCAATCTCATTGTGTAGTTGCGCTAGCGCACACGTCACGCCGACGTCCCAGGTTCCAATCATACTGTACCTAGGATTAACAAAATGTCACTCCTATAAATTAAATGTTTTGATTAAAACTAGTTTTGACAAGATGTAAATAAAGTTTCGTGCATTAACCCGTTAAAACTAGTTTTATTTAATGAGTGATGTGCGTGAAAACCTAAGAAATAAATGTTTTGATATAATACTAAAAAAACGGCTCAGTTCAGAGTTGCCAGTTTTATTTTTTGCCAAGTCGGGAACTTTTTGAGTGAAAAAAGCCGGATTCTTTCTTCGAAGGCGGGACTAGTAAAAAAAACGTATATTATCAAAAGTTATTGAATATTTACATTCATTACGCGCCGAGCAGGCGGCCAGTCCACACTTATCTGTGCCACCCGCCTGCGCTTTCGCAGTTCGCTGCTCGCACCGTCGAGTTATTCCCGCGGGATTGAGCCTGTCCTGCGCGGGACATTTAATTTTGATTTAAAAATCGGGACGTCCCGCAAAAATCGGGACGTCTGGCAACGTTGGCTCGGTTATATAAGATGATGTGAAGAATCATAACCTAACCATGCTTGATTGGGTTAAAAATTAACTATTCACGTGACGCCCTTTCTGTCATGGGCCGAAGTAACGACGCTATGCTGTCTTTTCGTTATTGAAGCAATGACAGTACCCTTTCTCGTGTGAGGAAGTTTTTCATTCTTGTATTTTTTACGTTACTGTGTGATAAAGAAAACGCTCCACTAACTCGTATTCTTGAATGTGAAAGTACGTTTAAATATAAACAATGTTAGGTAAGCTAAATGATGTTGTTACTTATGTGTTTTAGCGGTAGTATCCTAAAACTGGTTTTCTGAATTTATTATCGAAATGTTTTAATTCAGTTCTAATACTATTAAAACGGAAGGACAGTTTCAATTGATGTTAACCAACTCAAGTAATCATGAAGTGCGAGTGAACTATACCAACCAGTGGTCAGCGGCCGTTGGGTCCGATCGCGAGAGTCGCGCTAAAGAAGCAGCGGCCAATGATCTCATTGTAGCCCCCGCCCCGCCCGAGCCTCGAACCCGCGCCCATCTCGCCTCGGCTGCTTCCACCCACCCCTCGCTACCACTCTTCTCTAGGGCCAACGCTGGAAACAGAGTGACATATCTGTACGCGTTGTCTCCAATAGTCGAGTCTTCTCAAAAGAGATGTGAAAGGAAGCGACCTTAGTGTGGCCCCCACCCCGCCTAAGCCTCGCAGCCGCACCCACTTCACCTCAGCTGCTTCCAACCACCCCTCGCTATCACTCTTCTCTAGGGCCGAAGCTGGTAACAGAGTGATTTAATATCTAGTGATTTAATTGAAAAAACATTAGATGGGCGGAAAAGCATGGTACCCTTGGTACCCATTCAAATTGTTTTCGGGTTTACAGTTTAATTTGACGCAAATAGACAACTTTTTAAAATATCGATTGACCTCCAGTGCCGAGAACGGTGATGCGAAGAAATAAAATAGCATTAAAGGAGGACCATTAGTCACCCTTCTAACATGTTTTTAACAAGCGAAGTAAGGTACACTTGCGGTATCTATTTCGAACTATGTGATTGTGTCGCTGGTGGCAGCATACCGTCGAGAAGTGGGTTTTAAAGGCATGAAATAATCTCATCTCTAACCCAAGAGCGAGATATGCGTCATGGATTTCCATAACAATAAAAAAGATACCTAGATCGTGCATGGCCACGAGATCGGGGTCGAGGAGCCAGGTGGGCGGATTGTTCGTTTCTTTAGCGGCCGCTAGAGAGTCATACGATCACAGTCTACTGGACGGGGCTATGTAGTTACCTAGATCGTGCATGGTCACGAGGTCGGCGGGGTCGAGGTGCCAGGCGGGCGGATTGTTCGTTTCTTTAGCGGCCGCTAGAGAGTCATACGATCACAGTCTACTGGATGGGGCTATGTAGTTACCTAGATCGTGCATGGCCACGAGGTCGGCGGGGTCGAGGTGCCAGGTGGGCGGATTGTTCGCTTTTTTAGTGGCCGCTAGAGAGTCATACGATCTCAGTCTCCTATGGGCGGGGCTATGTAGTTACCTAGATCGTGCATGGCCACGAGGTCGGCGAGGTCGAGGTGCCAGGCGGGCGGATTGTTCGCTTTTTTAGTGGCCACTAGAGAGTCATACGATCTCAGTCTCCTATGGGCGGGGCTATGTAGTTACCTAGATCGTGCATGGCCACGAGGTCGGCGGGGTCGAGGTGGCTGGCGCCGGCGAGTTGGTGCGCGGCTTGATGCCAGGCGGGCGGATTGTCCGCTTCTTTAGCGGCCGCTAAAGCACTGGAAACTCTCGCTGCACAAGAATACGGATCGTCCCGAGCCGCTAGTTCGCTCAACTGACGCGCTTCTGCATAGTTTCCGAGCTGTCACCAAAAGAACGAGTTCCTGAATGGATTTCAGATTCATTGTCACATTTCCATAATACGGATACAGAAGTTATTACACCATCAAATATGTGAATGGTGCCGTTCAAGTATTATTACGTAGGCACTATAGGCGACTGGGGAGGATTTTGCTTTGCTTATTTTTGGTGGGGGGTCTATGTGTTGTCTATGCTAGAAAACCATACGCATTTTCGGGTGTTCTCACAAAGAATGAATACCTAAGTTTAGTTAGGTACTCTCTTAGAACAGAATAAATTCAATGAAAAATGCATATACCATGTTTATGTTTACGCATGAAGGAGCTTCTTGCTTTTGCTGACATGGGAGGGGAGGGGAACAAAATTGTAATAAATCTGCTTCCGTAATAGATACTCGAATGACCTTCACAGCTAGTGTATGTTTTACCTTGAATTTTATAAAACTAGACGACTTTGTCTGCGTAGTTTAATTCATTTCTATGACTAAACGTCATTCTCCATTTTGGACAGAAAGAAAGAAATAATTCAGAAATAATTGTATTACCCTCTTAAGATAGTTTTTGTCATTTGGCTACGGAAAACTAAGAAAATGTAAGCGTCTCGGGACGCACGACAGAAGTGATAACTTGAACTAACGAGAGAGGAGGAGCCTGCCTACCGCTGGCGTATGCGTGAGAGGAAGGGAAGCCAGACAGACTGGCGCCGTAACGCGTTACGTAAAGAAGCTGTTTAATCTCCCATTACAAGATATCACTTTAAAAAAAATTAAAGGCCAATGTAGGTCGCTGCCTCAGCTTAAGCTGCTACGACACTTGGTACTCTTACATAATACATCTTAATTTTGTTACAAATACAATAAACGAGGCCGCGCACAGCAACTAAACGCAAGATGCAACTCCCCACCCCGAGCTCAAATCCCGACACAATGATGAACGAGAACCATGTCAAATCCGACACAAGCTGCACCCGTAGCGCTGGCAAGGATCGCAGCCCAGAGCTGCGCTCCACACACAGCCGCTAGCCAGGCACAAAATCGTAACACTTTCGCATTTGTAAAACTTAAGTATGGCTATCATACCGCATAAGCGACAAAAGCCGCATCTGCGTTGGCTTCAGCCTTCAGCACTCTATCGTTAGGATGCGCGCGCGCGACCGCCTTCAGTCTCTGCAACGCCTTCAGTCCGGTGGCGGCGGCCGGCGAGTGCAGACGTGCTGCACGCAACGCGGACAGAGCTCCGCCTAGCTCTAGACGAGCTCCGGCGCCTCCTCCGCTGTAACCTCGAAGCGCTTCCACGCACCATGACATGCCACTGTATACGTTGCATCAAATAATAATTAGGAGCTATGGTAGAAGAACGAAACTTTTAAAATGTTGATCGTTCGTCATCGTCTCAAATATTACGGATACATAACTTTAAGTAGATAAGAATTTGTGAGGATAATATTTACAATAATAATTTAAATAATATTTACTGGCGGTCTCCCTGTAACAGTTCTCCTACGGGTATTACTAATGTGTCGTATGTAAATTAACATACATACCGTACATTACATGGCAATATGTATTTGCTATTTGTAAACTTGCAAACAGTCCCCTTTTTATTTCCTATGGGTATGATAAGAACAACCTGCGGTCAAAATGACATTTAGTAAATACGAATAGCCATGTAAAGTGCTAGAATAACATGCACGTTGCCGTATTTGACAGGGAACACTCAATCCATTCCACAAAGCACCCCCACTAGAATCAGTATTACATACTAAATATTTGTTTGAAATCGAAATCACCAAAGTTAAGGCATGCGTGGATCGGCCGGTAAGTTGCATTTTAAATAGATACATTAGTGTGACGTCGAAGTTGGATGACAAATTTGGTGACATGATGAATTTCCGTCCACATTGCTTCATAAGCACGGCACAAGTCATTGCCTTTATATGCGGTCTCTATTGGGGGTGCTCTGTGGTCCATTCTCTATGTCTAGGGCTGCAACTCTTTATGATTATCTTCTTACTGTGTGGTTATACCAATGGCAATATGCTTATAAGAACTTGCCCAGTGTCGTCGTCGATCGTGATAGACGGACGGACGGACACCATCGCGATAGACGGTCACCCCCCACCACGTCGCATGGGACGCATCCATACGCGTCATACTAACGTGTGGAATATGTCCTATATATAGCTACCCGGTGTCGTCTCTAGAGGCGGGGCGGACGAGTGCAGCCGCTGCGAGAGCGAGACAGCGCTCTGCGTCGAAGATAGACGGTCACCCCCCACCACGTCGCATGGGACGCATCCATACGCGTCATACTAATGTGCGGTATATGTCCTATATATAGCTACCCGGTGTCGTCGTCTCTAGAGGCGGGGCGGACGAGTGCAGCCGCTGCGAGAGCGAGACAACGCTCTGCGTCGGAGATAGACGGTCACCCCCCACCACGTCGCATAGGACGCATCCATACGCGTCATACTAACGTGTGGAATATGTCCTATATATAGATACCCGGTGTCGTCGTCTCTAGAGGCGGGGCGGACGAGTGCAGCCGCTGCGAGAGCGAGACAGCGCTCTGCGTCGGCGGCGGCGCGGCGACACCATCGCGATAGGCGATCACCCCTCACCACGTCGCGGAGGACGCATTCGTATGCGTCGTTTTCCTATTTTCATTATTAAAAGTTTTACATGTTTGATTTAGATGGAAAACATTTATAAACTATTGTAGACGGTGACTAACTAGTGTTTACAAACAATGTGCTACCAAGGTTAACATGGTGACCTTTTCTTATGGCTGTGAGAGAACTAAATTTAGGGATTCAGTAAATCTACGTATTTGATACATCATCTGGGCTGTGTTGCTATGCCAAGGACCAACCCCTCAAGGGGCACAAGGTTCAAATTAATATAATGTAGTCTATTATTAGCACCGCATTTTTTTGAAAGCAGTTCCACTGTAGGAAGGCCAAAGGGGAAGATCTTCCTCCGAGCTGGGTGATTTTAGCTCGGGGGCCGCGGCCCGACTGATGTTTGTCGGGCATCGTATATATGAAGTGTTAGCCTCCGAATTTTACTTGCGTGATTTAGGTTTCCATACGTTGTAAGTGCAGCACCGGTAACGCCATCTCTTGAGAAGGCGAGTGACTATTTCTTCCATGTTGATTATATGTGGGGCATGTAAATGTCATGTCATGTACACCACATTCCACTTAACAGAATTCTAAGCAGTAGTTGATATTTACATCATCTATAGGAATATCCTGGTGACAAGATGGTGGCTCCACATCGAGCATGGCGTGGAAGGCCGCTTTACCGCCTTCTGGATCGCTCAAGGCCACAGAACATAGCACCAAATGCAATCCTAAGAGGAAATAAATAATTAAGAAAATAATCAAAGAACTAGTTTCATCATTGGACTATTGATGAATATGGGAGATCCGGCCATAACCCACTATGCGGGTCCAGTGCAGTTTAATGGGCGCCACAAATATCGTAATAAATAAATGTTGTTGGACACAACAATCATCTGGCTCAAAACTGAGCATAGTTGGTGAAAAACTTCTTGAGCAAACCACAGACAAACTCTCGCTGTAGACGTTATCGTATGTAAAACTGCTACTGAGCAGGCTCCATTGTCTATGGTTGATGCTAAAGATGTTGGAAGGAGTGCCAACCATGAGTGCTAGATATCGAAAAAACGTACAAAGTCAAAAATCTAAATCAAAATATATGTACGATATCTGATGATTAGGAAGTCAAAATATTCTTTATCACTATTGAATTGTGCCATATCTACTATAAAAATTAGAAAATCAAATAAACAAAAGAGTACCTGTTTGAAAATCGCCTTGTTCGTGCATGATGTGTTGGAAGTTAGTTACAGCATCTCGAAACTTGCCCATGCGCACCAATAGTAACCCAATGTTATGCATTACCTTCATTCTAAATAAGAAATAAATATACTTTTTTTACATATTATGTAAATACACGCTAAGTATTCGACGACCTCCTTGGCCGAGTGGTATATACGCCGGCCACTGTCGCCTACTCGTGAGGTCCCAGGGTTCGAATTCCGGTGGTGACAAATGTTACTATGATGAATACGAGCATTTCTCATGGATGTTTATATAATTTTCTATACAAATATACTTATGTGTATCAAATATAATGTATTCTATCTGTTATCCAAGCATCCACATAGAACAAGCCTTACAGTGCTTACTTTAGGGCTAGGCTAATTGATGTGAGTGTGGTCCAGGTAAAATCTACCTGGTGCATCTTGAGTTATAATGAGGTGAAAATTTTGTGACAAAAGCTAGCTAGCCTCCCGCCAAAATCAAACCAAGATGGCGCCATTAGCGCGGGAAATAAGGAGAAGGGGAAACAATAGACCGGAAATCGCTATGAAAGGCAGGTTCTTGACTCAAGATGGATTCCGGATATCAAACGGAACAAATAATAAGAGAAATAGAATTTTGTCCTTTATTTTTTGTACCTTAAATCCTTCTCGGCAGTAGGAGTTTGATCTAAGGCCATTCTATATAACTTCAATGCTTTTGGGTGCTCTCCCATTTTGAAATAAATATTACCCATGTTTACCTGAAAAATTAAAGCAAGAAATATAAGTTCTTAAATGATTTGAATACTGCTTAAAAAACTATTAAAAATTTATACCTTCAGCCGATTTGCATGAGGGAACAACTTATTTCTCGTTAGCAGTTGATAAGTGTTTAAAGCCTCTGTGTACATCTCGTTTAATGCATATTGTCCTGCCAAATTGCAGAGGACCTATAAGTAAACAACATACTTGCTATAAACACAAATAATATAACGACCTGCCCTCGCCTTGCTTCTGTGAAGTTAAGTTTATACGTATAGGTATAGTAAGAAGAAAACTAAATAAATGACGTCTGTAAAACTAACAGAAGGCGCACCACAGTAAATGAAAACTAGGGTAGTGTCATAAACATTTTTTTATTTTCAATATTGAATAGTACTAGAAAGTTGCATTACATTCTCAAATATACAAAAAAAAATAAAAAATATATTTGAAGCAATTTTTAGCTCTCTACTGCCGCTTGAAAATTGTGAAAAATCATCAAATCAAGGCTATTTATAAAGCATCATTATGATAAGAAATGAACATTTCTTTTATTGTTATTGTAACTCATAATACCTTAGAATTTACAAATTTTATTTAGTATCTTTGTAAGTTGAGCTGTTTACATTTGATGTAGCATTTTTCTTTTTTTTTCTTTGGAAATGGCAAAGAGCCTTCTATTTCTAAAGTATTCGAAAGTGGCAATTGATCCCATAGAAGTGTGGACTACGGCTTCTTTGCCAACCGTAACCCAAGGACGTATAAAAAAGGCGGACAGAGTTTCGGCTAAGACAATACTGAGGCACCGTAATGGCGGCGGCTATTGATGAGTGAGTGAATTGTAGGGTTGCTAGGTTTTTACCAATAAAACACAGTAAAAACATGAAAATATTTTGATTGTTCAAAATTTTACTTTTTGCCCGACTGCGGAGGATAATGTTTTTCGAGCGTATGCATGCATAATGTATGTATGTCCAATAATTTGGCACGCCCTACAGCCTGAACGTCTTGACGGATTTTGACATGCGAGGTGTCATTTGATTTGTCGTGATTGTGTGAGTGGCACTCGGTATATAAAAATTTCAAAAAATCAAAATAACAGATTTTATGCGCCAAAATGAAACATTTTGAAAAAAAAAGTATAAGTATTTTTATAACCCGTCAAGCGAGGTATCAAAGTGAAGGGTTTTAAAATAATATTTAGAAAATATACAACTCGTGTAATTAAAAATAATGAAATTAAAATGTCGAAAATAAAAAATAATGTACTAAAAAGAAAAAAAACAAGTCCAGTAGTCTAGAATTCTGTTTAATAAGGAACAAAGTTACTTTAACAGTCGGGACTCATTAGAAATTCTAGAATGTATCGAATTTTCTCAATATTGGGTAAATCAACTAAATATAGATGTCCTGGCCTACATTCTCTTTCATATTTCTTAAAATAAACTAACACCCATTGAGTACTGTTTGTAATTGAGGAGTTCCATTGTTTTCCTCCGAAAGTACTCTTCAGATCTCCAGTAAATTAATATGCAGCCATCTCGCTAGTAAACTGATTAAAACAAAAAAAGAATCATCATGAACGGTCCACGAATCTCGGAGATCTGCGCGAACAACAATAAAAAAAACAAATATGACGCATTGCGAACCTCTTTCTTTTCGAAATCGGTTAAAAATTTTAATCAACCTTTTGAGGTAATGCATACGTAATAACACGCCGTCCAGTCGCAGTCCTCCTTTAGTTGTATATAAGTCTTGAGCTTCAAAATGAAGACTAAAAATGACACTACTACTTAATTGTTTGGAAATCATTCATTTTCCAGTCATTTCTCCATACTACATTTTCTTTAGGAAATCTGATAAAAAAGAATAATAAATAATAGATTGAAGTTATTGTCAACCCAATTTCCCATATTTTAGGTAATATGGTTACATGAACATTGGCAACACTGGGCTTTAGACTAATCATTTTGTCCTTAGAATGAAAATTGAATTCGATTTCTAAAAACTGGAAAAAAGTGATTAAATAATTCATTTGCCTATGAAACGTGATTTTTGGATTTTTTTTCTTTCGGTCACTACGGTTTTTACACCATTTTACCACGCAAGACATCTTGTTTAACTTATTTTTATCTCCACGTAACGTGTCGGCTGCTTTGACGTTTGCACGCGTAATGGCTGACTATGGTGTGAAGGTGTGTGTGCCGGCTTGTACGTATAGCGACCTGGCCGACTCTGAGCGACACAGTTTGTTGTTTACCGGGACTCTGTCCGCCTTTTTTTATACGTCCATGCCGTAACCATACAACGTGTGAAACAAATGTTTAAAAACAATTACGATATATACTTGTATATTTTACGCTATCCAAAATCTAAACAAACTGAAAAGTTTATAGTGAAATTAGAGACAGTAGGAAAAGCGCTAGAAAACTGTACTGATCTAGCTGTCCAAGTTTTCTGCTATATTGTCAAACGTGCCTGTTTTACCGAAGGAAACTGAAAGTAGTCTGAGTACAGATCAGAAATACTTATACCAAATCTGTCAAGCAGTAAGCAGCGGATCATGTTCTTAAGATTTGTCTAACAGAAATCCTGGAAAAATGGCTCATTCACGTTGGTTAACAACAGCTAACAGAATCTTGAGATTATATATGACCACACCGAATCCAATACGACAATTAATTAAACTCACAGAATAAATTGTAAAAGTTTATGCTCCTGTATGGTTTTATTTAAAGAAAGATAGTTCATTCAAACAAGGCCCAACTCACGTCTACAAATTAATTGATTGAGCTCGGACATAAAAAAAAATATTGATCCAGTTATACAAAGAAATTAATTTTTTGTACATCCTGAAAACCTGTTATTGGCTATGCTTTACGACACTCGGCCACATGTAAGAGAATTGGGATTAAGGCGAATAATCGCAGCAAGAAAAAATTCAAAACTTAGTCTAAGAATATTTAAAGTTCTGAAAATAAACTTTGATGCTAATGACTACACTGATATGATTTTATGGAACGAGTCACAAGTTACATCCCCTCCACTGCTAACAGATATCAGTGACAACGAACTGGAAGACGTGGTTGCATCAAACTCCAATATTACAATGGAGTTGTCGGATTATCCTTGTCACACACAAGCAGTAGAGCGATGTGTCATGATGGTCTCTGAAGCATCGATTAGTGTAGTTGCCGAAAAAGCCAGATGTGGATTCATTCGTTCCAAAATAAAATCCCGTACAATTATGCCATATTTTGAAACAAAAAAATATTTAAAAATACTAAAAAAAAAGTAATTTATAGATTTTTTTATGATTTTGACACATTCTTCTTTCAATTTTATATCTCAAAATTCATGTTTTTTTTTCTAAATAAATATTATAATTTATAAAATGCATTTTTTATTGTTACATTTACGCTAAAATATGATACGATTTTGATTTTTGTAATGTTCTATGCATGTTTAATGGTTTACCTAATTTAATAAAATTATTGCAACTTTGAGCTTAGTTAGAGGGCTAAAAAATATGTCAAAATAAATATATAAAACTAGATTTATAAATAATTTTGCCAAATGCAACTTTTTGCAGATATTCAAAATCAATTCGATGACTTTTTTTTTCTCCATACATTGACGCTCCACCCTAATGAAAACTACAAAAAGATGAGTGCTTTTGTGTGGTGTGAGTGTCCTCCTGTCTGTAGAACCTGCGCGTACTTTCGGTCGCTGCTAACTTCACAACCACTAAATAGTTCGAATTGCACTTAATTCTTATTTGCATCTTAATTGCACTCTGTCTTTGGATACTCTCATAATCTACTAGAAGATGTTAGCTAGACTGCTAGCGGCTTCATAGTTTTCGACGCCCCAGACCAGCATGTGAGATTTTAAGACAGAAATTAGGTAACAACATGCATAATCTAATGAGACTCACAGCAAAAGTTAGATCCAAATTGTGACTGTCACCGAGGTTAGCGTGTTCTTGCATACGAATGAGTTGTCGTTCCAGGGCAGAAGCTTCTTGTGCTTTCGCTAATGCCTGAAGAAATATTAATAGCTTAAAATAACTGATAGATAATCGGCACAAGATAAAGAAAGCAAATGATCTGAGGCCCATGGACGAATTTTTGACAGCTCCGTAAAGTATCGTCATCGTCATATATTGTATGGAGAAAGCTAGTTTGTTCTTACGCCCGATAGCGACGCTGTTTAGTTTTTATAGAAACTTTGACGATGCGTTACGTCACGGAGCTGTCAAAAATTCGTGCTTTGACCTCTGGAGAAAATTTGTCTAACATTCACTTTTTCCGTGATCCGTTCCCTTCTAAAGCTAAGGCAAGTGTGAATGAGACTGTATCATTAGTTTCCCTAATACTAGACCGCTTATATTTGGAACTAAATAATCGTTATGATTGTGAGTAATACAAAATGTATTTATTATTCTAATATATAAAATTCTCGTGTCACGGTGTGCGTAATTGAACTACTCCGAAACGGCTCGACCGATTTTCGTGAAATTTTATATGCATATTCAGTAGGTCTGAGAATCGGACATGTATTCTTCATCCCCCTAATTTTTAAGGGTGGTCCACCCTTAAATTTTTTTTGAACAACATTTTTTGTTTTATTTTTTTATGATACTTCATACAAAAATACATATCACCCTAAATTTTCACCCTTTTACCACCAACCCCTATTTTTTACGGCGGTATGAAGTTCGCTGGGTCAGCTAGTTAATACATAGTTTTTTCATGAAGCTGAAGCAATATACAGGGCGTCCCACGGCAACCTCACACGGAGGGAAAGTATATTAAATATTGAAGATAGGATATTTTACTGAAAGAAGACATCATTTTATTTTTAATTATAACGAGAACTGCATTCACAGTTTTTTTTAAATCGCCTGTTACAACTAGGAATCAAACTTGTGAAATTTCGAAAAAAAACACAACTCATTTTATGATAACTATCGAAAGGGTTAATCATAAGCATTATTTTTTGTTAAATAACATAGCATTTTAAATGAAAGGAATGTCTTATTACGTGATAAAAATAATAAAGTGTTATACAAACTGAAGTACGAATGCTTTCTTTTTGAACTCACAGTTACAATGTGATGGGCTGAAATTTATAAAAATAATAATTCGAAAATGGAACACATAAATTTTCAAGCGTCTGTTCTTTTTTTTGAGTTTCATTTCCGTTTTTTTTGTTATTTTACATACCATGGCGTATCAAAATAAAATGGATTTAATGGAAGCTTACTTTATGAAACACAAAGACATATTAGCTTTGCGGTGGTACCGCAAAAGATATCCTGATGGAGACGTATCTTCTCGATATGTGCTTAAAAGGTTAGTGGATACTGAAATTTAGGACGTTTTGGTATGCGCTTACAGAAACCACAGCAGCGGATGATAAACGCCAACGATGATGAACTCAACATTTGAACTTACTTTGAGAAAAGTAATTTTGTGTAAAATAATTTTAAATAAAATGTTCAATTTAATTACTTTTCTTTCATTTAAATGCTATGTTATTAAGCAAAAAATAATGCTTATGATTAACCCTTTCGATGGTTATCATAAAATATGTCGTGTTTCTTTTCGAAATTTCACGAGTTTGATTCCCAGTTGTAACAGGCGATTTAAAAAAAAACTGTGAATGCAATTTTATTTATTATTAAAAATACAATGATGTCTTCTTACAGTAAAATATCCTATCTTCAATATTTAATATACTTTCCCTCCGTGTGAGGTTGCCGTGGGACGCCCTGTATAAGTGTTTTGTTCACCTGCCCCAAGTCGAAATCTCTTTTAACAGCGGTGTCGTCATCTGGGTCGGGGCAAGCGCTCAGCATGCATGACTCCTCGACGAGTGTCATGATGCGAGCTTCCATCTGCTTTATTTTATCTTCGATACTGTGGATAGGTAACATTGAGACAAGGTTAGAGGATAGAGGCAAAGAACTATGATCACGTATTAACTGAAGTAATTACACGGGTAAGAAATATCGGGGAGTTCTAAAAATCCTTTTCAAGATGTCGCCTAATATGACTGTGGTCCTGTGTTCGAATCTCGTTAGGGGCAAATGTATGTATGATGAAAATGAGATTTTTACCTGAATCATGGCTGATACATAATTTTCTACAGAAAATATAGTATCTGTAAATCGTTGTGTATTTCTATCCGTTACTCTTGTATCACATGACACAAGCCCTACAGTGCTTTCTCTGGGGCTAGGCTAATAGGGTATTTGACAAGTTGTAGAAAACGATCTCCCGTTATTGACTAATGTTTATGGAGTCCGTAAAAGTGGATATTTATCATTCTGTTGTGTATTTCAGTAAAAATAACCAAATCGGATTTTTTCCGGTTCCGGTTTTTGATTTTGTTATTTTTACTAAAATACACAACAGAATGATGAATATCCATTTTTTACGGACTCCATAAACATTAGTAAATAACGTAAGATCGTTTTCTAAAACTTGTCAACTACCCTGTTGCGCGTTGATTCCACAGAGAAGTCGGATCCTCATCCAGGGACGAAACTTATTGTCACTTTAATTTCTTGTACCATCTAGCTCAGCCTAACCCTTTCATATCGCCAGGGTGCTTATTTGCACCACCGGCGGGTGCGCGGCCAATCCTAACAGGGTGCCAAGATATGCCCGCACTCTTGGCATCTTAGGAAACTTAACTTTTAAACATAATGGATTTGCCGATCGAATAGGGTATTTGACAAGTTTTAGAAAACTATCTCACGTTAATGACTAATATTTATGGAATCCGTAAAAAGTGGATATTCATCATTTTATGATTTTATTTATTTTTTTGGCATTTAACTGCTAGATGTTTAAATCTAAAGAAAAGTTTACTAGAAAAAAAATCCACGCGGACCAGGCAGCGGACGGGACGGGTCCCGTAGCGGACGGGACGGCACCTTAGCAGCGAGCGCTACTATGCGCAGGTTCTATAGTGAAATCCCCCGCGCGCCTACATCATCCTAAATTTCGTTTACTGCGACTCAACTTGTGCAAACATCACATCCGCCATTCAAGTTGGAATTGCACTATACTTGTCGTCCTTCTTGTCGTCTCTGGTGGGTGTGTCGCGGGTGGCACGCGTGTAGCCGGCCGCGCGCACCGCGGTGACAGGCCGCGCGCTCGGACCGCCACCGCGGGAGCTGATCGCCCGTCCGCCCACCGTGCCCAATCGAAACATCTATTCATATGGTGAACAAACAACGGATATTGAATCTACACTTCCAGCCACATCTATCGACTCACCTAGCATTTAAAATTTTGATGGTCCCTAGCTAAAAATAGATGTTACATTGAGCAAAACGTTTTTACAGTTTTCAAGCTGATTTTTTAACCATCATTTTTGTGTGTTTTTAAAAATATATTTTTATTGCTCAACCTATTTCTGCGCCAGAGATTTGAAACTTAAAAAACTAAGTGGACTGATAGATGTATCCGGAAGTATAGATTGTAGAAAATCACATACGGCTAGTTCAAATGGAAGTACCTTATAGGGATTGATTCCCTTGCAAACGTTAAAATATGTGGCATAAAATGAGCATCTTTTGATTGATTTATCTTAGAAGTTTTTTTTTCACTGCTAAAATGATTGTAGACTCGAATATTTAAAATTAATTTCAGCTTGAGACCGCCACACGCACTAGAGAAAAAGGATTTTACAGGCGGACAGACAGGTTGTCTGTCTGTGATGTGTGAGGTGAAAGTAATTTTAAAAGGGTTCCGTCTTTTTGTTTTGTGGTAAGGAACCTTAAAAAAATATTAATGTGTTTGTCCTGCTTTGCAATTGTTAGCACCCTCCATTTACGGCCAGTGATGGGTTATTGCATTTTAGTAAATCTGTTTAAAGTGAAGAGTTTCATATTAAATCCACGCGAAAAATAAATGCCATGATGACATTAAAATGTATGATAAATTACCTAGGTACTCTAAAAATAACAAGTAATTAAACAGATTTTGTGATACAGAGATAAAATATTTATTTAAAATAAGTACAAATGAAGGATGTTAGTTATGGTCACTTGACATTGTCACTTAAGAATTCGTGATGTATGAAGAAAAACTAATGTCATGTAACGTTGTGATAATTTTCCTTAAATAAATAATATGCGCACAAAGCTCTATATTATTAATAGGTTATGAGCCGCATCACCCATAAAAGTGCAGAAAAGAATGAAATGAGATAAAGAAAATAAATAAATATTATTTATCGAAAAAGTAGAACAGAATTTGTGAAAAAAGAAAATGGCTGCTAGTACGACAAATTTTCCGCAGCTACATGCTGCCAATTACAACAATTGGCTTTTTAGAATACGTTGCATATTAGAAGAAAAAGGTCTAAATGAAATAATAAATGATTCAAAAACAAAAGTTCTGATTTTTCGACTAAAGATGCAAAAGCCAAAAATAATATCGTACATTGTTTGCCAGACAAATATTTGAACATTATTAAAGACTGCGCTACGGCCTTTCAAATGCTAGAAAGAATAAATGATACATTTCATAGAAAAAGTGTCATAACGAAAATTCACTTCAGAAGAAAATTATTAAATATAAAACACAGTAATACGGAAAGATTAGAAGAATATTTTTTGAGATTCGATGATATAGTCAGAGAGCTACAGTGCGCGGATGAAAAGATTAGTGAGATGGATAAAATATGCTATTTGTTGATTGGATTAAGTGAAAAATATGAAAATGAAATAACGGCGATCGAAACATTGAGCAATGAAAACCTAAAACTAGAATTTGTTAAATCAAGACTATTAGACGAGGAACTGAAAATGACAATGGCAAATTCAAATGAAAACTCCAAATCAGATGACGCAGCTTTCATCACATGCTATCGATGTAACAAGCACGGACATATAGCATCACAGTGCAGAGGCAGAGGTCGAGGTAGATATAGCAGACGTCAGACGAATCAACGTGGAAGAGGTCACCACGAGTATGAAACGAGACAGGATTCTTTAGCAGCTACCACCGCTTTCAGCTTCATCACTTCAACAGAATACTGCAATACGTCGTACAAAGTCGGAGAGATAGAATGGGTAATCGACTCAGGTTGTACGGATCATCTTGTTCAGGATAAATTTGAGAATAGTATGAGTAACATCGAAAATTTAGAAAAAGAGGTGAAGATTCATATTGCTAATGGAGATTTTCTTATAGCTAAAAAGGTAGGTGAAATTAAATTGTTGGCCTAAAAAACTTAAAATTTAACTTATTATCTGTAAATAAAATTCTAGAAAATTGTTATACTGTTCATTTTAACAAAGATAAAGTTTATATAAATGATAGGAGGTCTGGTAAATTTCTGGTTGGTCTAAAGCAGGGTAAATTATTCACTCTAAATACAGAACTTGCTCTTAGTGCAGCAACTAACTCTGACTATCTATGGCATAGGCGCTTAGGACATCTTAACCGACGTGGGTTGAAGATACTCAAACTTCCCGTAAGCAATGAGGTATGTGGACCATGCATGCAAGGTAAAGCTACTAGATTGCCTTTTGTTACAGTAGCAAGACCAAGATCTCGAGCTATAGGTGAATTGATTCACACTGACATAGCAGGACCAGTGAATATTCCAGGAATATACGGACATCTGTACTATCAAGTAATAATTGATGATTATTCGCTTTTTTTAGACAAAGGAGAGGCAACAAACAATTTGATAAATTATATAAACAAAATTGAAACACAGTATGGGGCAATAGTAAAGAAGATTAGATGCGATAACGGAAAGGAATTTAGAAACAATACTTTAGAACATTTTTGCAAAAATAAAGGTATAGATATTCAATACACGCAACCATACTCACCACAACAAAATGGAGTCTCCGAACGCATGAATCGAACACTGTATGACAGAGCTAGAACCCTAATGGTAGAGTCATGTTTACCTAAACACCTATGGAGTGAGGCAATAATGGCGTCAGCATATCAAATCAACAGATGTCCTTCATCGACAATAAATTTCAGGACACCAGCCGAATTGTTTTTAGGCAGCAATGATCTTAGCAGATTACGTGCATTCGGAAGTAAAACATGGGCTGTAATTTTACCAAGGAGATCCAAATTTGAGCAAAGAGGTTGAGAGTTACGAATGGTAGGTTACTCAAACAATGGTTATCGTCTATGGAATCCAATGAATAATCAAATCGTAGAATCGCGTGATGTTCGTTTTGATGAGAGTGATGTGACATTTAAGGAAAGTAAAGATAATATGAAAGAAGACACAATATAGACTGAGGAAAAAAAGTAAAAGAAACAGAAGAGATAAGTAAGGAAGGAACTTCACATGAACAAGATAGAGAAGAAAATGATAAAAAAATTGTAGAAGAGAGAACTGAAGAAAGTGTCAATGAAAATGAAACAGAAATAGAAATATTAAAGAAAACTAGATCTGGAAGAATTTGTAAAACACCAACGTATCTACGAGATTACGATTGTGACGAAGACGTAGTAAATGAATATGAAAGTAATATTGCTTATTGTTTGATGACAGATCCTCAAACGTTTCATACGTTTGAGAAGCAATTGAAGGAGGAAAGGAATGGCAAGATGCGATTGATTGAGAGTGAACTTAATTCTTTGAAACAGACATGGGAAGAAGCAACATTACCAAAAGGGAAGAAAGCTATTGATACCAAGTGGGTTTTTCGAACAAAACAAGGAGGAAAGAAGATAGCTAGATTAGTGGCTAAGGGTTTTCAAACAGAAAATAGATATAATGTTTACTCTCCTGTTGCTAGGCTGTCTACATTAAGGATGATGTTTTGTTTAGCAGTGCAAGAAAACTTACCTATGAAACAACTTGACGTACCCACAGCATTTTTGAACGGACATTTATCAGAGGAAGTGTATATAAAACCACCAAAAGGAGTAAAGATTAATAAAAATAAGATCCTTAAATTGAAACGTTCATTGTATGGTCTTAAAGCAGCACCGAAATGTTGGAACGAGAGATTTCATAACTTTATTATTTCCCAAAATTTCGAAAGCTCTAAATATGATTTTTGTTTGTACACAAGTTCAAAAACGTGGATACTTATCTCGGTAGATGACATTATTGTGATGGGAGATTATGAACCAATAATAAGTGAACTAAGAAAAGAATTCAACGTGAAGGAGTTGGGAGATATCAGTGAATATTTAGGAATGGAAATATCAAGGAAAGAAGGAGAATTGGCAATTAAACAAGAAAAACTAGTGAAAAAGGTATTATCAAGGTTTGGAATGGAAGATTGTAAAGGAGCATTAACACCCATGGAAGCTAACATAAATTTAGAAGAAGAAAAGATAAATGATGTGCCTTACAGAGAGCTTATAGGATGTCTTACGTATATATCAACTACTACTCGTCCAGATATAACATTTGCAGTTTCGTTTCTCAGTAAATACTTAGATAAACCTACAAGATCTATATGGACAGCAGCAAAGCGTGTACTTCGATACCTAAAGTCTACATCTACTAAAGGAGTGCTATACACACAAGGAGTCTATGATAAAAATAAGCTCGTAGCATATAGTGACGCAGATTGGGCATCCGACAAAGCCGATAGGAAAAGTGTGAGCGGATGTGCTATATTCTATTCGGGTAATCTTATTTCTTGGTTTACCAAAAAGCAGAACACCGTTTCTCTATCGTCTGCAGAAGCGGAATATATAGCGGGAGCAACAACAACGGCTGAGATAATATATCTGCAAGGTATTCTCAACACATTTAAGTGTAAGGATGTTCACACCTATCTGCTCATAGATAGTCAAAGTGCAATTCGCATGATGGAGTGTAACGAAAACAGCAAACGCACTAAGTATATCGATATAAAGTTCCATTTTGTCAAAGATGCTTTTATCCAAAAGAAATTTAGAATGTCATATGTTTGTACTAATGATAATGTAGCGGATATATTTACAAATCCTCTCAATTCTGTAAAGCATGCCTACTTTGTTAGAAAGTTAAGAGTTGAGTAAAAATAAGTGTTATATACAGGGTGAAATTGAATGTTTCTATGAAACTTCGTGAGATTGTTGGGTTACGTGTATAGAGTATGCCTGATTTTTTTCGGATTTTTTAAAATAAAATTTTTCGCTTTTTAATTTTTTATTTGTTTATTTTTTTGTCATTTCTTCCTTATGAGTAATTATTCATTTTAAACACGTCTACATAGAAGTTATAAAGCAACTTAAAATAAGCACTTCTAAAAAAACGGAAACTTAATGAATGCCTTCATTATGCCTCCAGTCGAGATCAGCGCCGGTCGGGGCGACGACCGCGGCCGCCTGTGTAGGTACCTACTACACGCACAGATGACTCGGCACTTGCCTACTCTCCGCTTTGATCCACACTATTTAAAAACATTACAATAAAACAGTCTTAGATGCTATATTATAATTATTTATTCACTGATACACTATACCTTTGAATATTGTTTCATAAAGCACAGGTAATTAATCAATAAAATAAATCTTCTATAAAGCAATTAAAAATCCTATAAAGTTAATATGACTGTCACGATTTTAAATCGGTAAAGCCTGTCTGTTAGTGTAAGAACTTCTTTTTTATTGTTAATGTTAGTTGCCTCGTTTAATTAAAACTTAAGCACAAACGGCTTATTAAATTGGGAAAAATCATACAGAGCAAATCGGTATAACTTACGAGCTTAGTGAAGGAAGGAACTCTTCGTGTCTGATTTGCCCACGCCATGAAATTCCCAACACATTTAATCACAGCCACAGTCACACACACACACACACACACGTAATAATATGTTGTTTTGCGGCAAGCACGGGCGGGCGGCGCGCCGCACGCTGGCAACTAGCGCCGGTTGCGGCGTCTTTGATGATGTGAATTCCGCCCACCTCCCCTCTTCCCCGCACGCGGTGGTTTGCTTTGATTGCATGCAAAACGCAGTCGCAAGTATATCAATCGCACGTGGGCGTGCGCATGTTTTGACTTAGTGACATACACTGTGATAATTTGATTATGCCTCGGTTTACGAACCAAGAATACCTATTTAGAGATGGTGTACTGCTATCGCGAGTGTGACCAAGTAGGTTTGGTTTACGAATGAGTCCCCAAACCATAGAAGTTGCATTTTGTGCAGTGTGTAGTGATAGGGACACTTTAAAATAGGTGGAAAGACACGTCCGCAAACATGCCTACCTTTGTTTGCAGCAAAATGGTGGTTTAGAGCAACATTTTTGAAGATAATAATTTAAGTCTCTTTTTATTGCTAGTGTAAATACTTTTTGATTAGAAACAACTAATTGTGTACTACCAGTATGATTGATTTGATAAACAGTTCTAGCGAAAAAAATGAATATGTTCCTCGTTGTACCTACCTACATCGCCGGTCTCGTAAGTACTTTTGAATACCGGGTTATAAATTTCATTCTGACCCAAGTACTGAACTGCAATAAGTATTTCTTTTTGTTTAACATTTGCCTATTTCCAATCGTGACAAAATTATTATTAACTTTTAAAGTTTTTCTCTGCTTAAGAGAAGATGACATTTGTGCTTATTATTTCAATTTCAATAAAGGCATCTAAGACGATTTTATTGTATTGTGTGGAATCAAACGAGTCAGCTGAGCTCTGTGTAGAGGTACCTATTCACTCAACGGCTGGCGGGCGCGGTCGGTCGTTGACCCGTGGTGGAATTTAATGTTTTTCCGTTTTTTAGAAGTGCTTATTTATTAGTTGTTTTTCACTGGATATGTAAGTTTGTTTGTTTAAAATGAATAACTACTCAAAAGGAGGAAAGGACATAAAAATACACAAATTATAAATAAATACATGAAAAAAATATACTTCAAAAAATCCGAAAAAAAACAGGCATACTCTATACACATAACCCAACAATCTCACGAAGTTTCATAGACACATTCAATTTCACCCTATATAGGTTGTTCTAATTTGGTGTTAAGTTATAGGTGCTGTTAATAAATTGAGTTAAGTAGGTAGTGGTAATTTTATGTTAGGATTTTTATTTGAGAGGAGGCTTTGTTTGTTTAAGTATGTAAATATTAATAACTATTAGCAATCTCAGAATACAGAACAAACCAGAAGGAGCATTTAGTCTTATTTGTACAGAGCGCATTATGTCCAAAACAACTCCCCGCCCGCGCCGCACCCACCCGCGTAGTGTTACCAGCGCAACATAACATTACCGCTTTTGGGGTAAAATTAAAATTTTATGTATAATATGACAGTAATGTCAAATGGTAATTTTTAAACGTTCAATAGGTAAAATATATTCCTTTTGACTTAATTTAATAGGAACAAAATTTGACAACTGGATGTGAGTATCATAACTAAAATTAAAGATAACATTTATTGTTATATTCATTGAAGTAGAAAAAAAGAAATTAAAGTGCCCGTTTTTTCTGAAAAACAGTTTATTTATCTGCATAGTCTGGTCTTTTACTCCTCTTTGGGTCTTGGCATATTACGTATGTATTTACAAAAAATATATATGTATGTGTAAGTATGTTCATCTAGAGTTCTTTACACAAGTTGTTACTGAAACTTATCTTGGACTCAGCTCAATAATTGGTATGATGATAGGGCTATACCATGGATAATACGGTGGGGTAGAATGAAATAATACATTTTGTAGTTTGCACATACATAATTTATTAAGTAAACTAATACAAGTGAAAATATTTCTAGTAAACGTAATGTGACGAACATATTTGACTACATTCATGTTTTAATATTAAAGTTATAATCTCAACATACCTTTTTGGCATATCTCTTTTGAAACTGAGTAATTAATGGCTATATTAGTTTTATATGAATGAATTATCCGCACATAAATGGTATTAAAACACTCGCGCAGTTTATACTATTTAGCAAACGGCTCCCTGAATAAAAAAAACACATAATAATTGTAATTATCCGCACATAAATGGTATTAAAACACTCGCGCAGTTTATACTATTTAGCAAACGGCTCCCTAAATAAAAAAAAACACATAATAATTGTAATTAAATCAATAAAATTAAAAGTTATAAAAAATTTGGGTAAAATGTTCGATTATTCTGTGGCAATACTAACAAAATGGACACGTGATTTTCTTTGACAATTACATTACGTAAATTAAATTTAATATTTTAATAAAATGGATTGGAAATGTACAACTTACAGATGAAAGGTGATCCCATCTGATTTCTTCGTAGATCCTGTTGCATTTTTGCAAGTGGGAACGACACACGACGGCATAATTATTTTAAAACTGACAGCTGAAATTACTAGTAAACAGTACGAGCGTCGGCCATTGACTAAATGACAATTTGACGAACCACACCGTTCCGGCGTGGTTTGTATGGTTTCACTTTTGAGCGCATTGACGGTTTCTGGTTTGTTCTGTATTCTGAGTTAGCAATATCAAATTGTTTGCAATTTAACATTGAGAGGAGGTGTTAGTTATGGTCACTTGACATTGTCACTTAAGAATTCGTGATGTATGAAGAAAAACTAATGTCATGTAACGTTGTGATAATTTTCCTTATATAAATAATATGCGCACAAAGCTCTATATTATTAATAAAGGATTTAATTTTATTTAGCACTGAATGTAATAAGATTAAGGTTTTATTAAAAGAAGGAAACTTTTGAAACAATAGGAACACTTACCCCAGTCCCCATTCGGCTAGGCGCTTTCTTCCCTATGCCAGCCGTCCGTAGCGTCTCCTGGAAAGCGTGGTCTTCCCTCAGGTTGCGAGTGTCTAGTGCTGGAGCTACATCGTTGAAGCCACCATACAACTCATCGTCTTCGTCCACAACCATCGCGGTCCGCGGCTTCGAGTCTGTCCCGAGTCGCGACGCACTATAATACCTAGAACTCAGCATGTTTAAAGTACAAAGATTGAATTATAACTAAATCCAAAGGCTTTATTTGAGCTTACTATGTATTTATTTATGGAAAATATAAATTTATTAGGTACTCCTTTAAATTTAAGTAATGTTGTGACGCGGTAACTATGGACACTGAGGCAAAATAAGAGTGTCATGGGCAGTCACCACGGTAACGTCTGATGCCAACCAAAGCGTTTCGTTTCAACTTCATGATGATCAATGCAAAGAGAATATTTATTACGATTTCAATACAGTTTTCTTGTTTGTTCCTATTGAATTTATCATAATAGTCAATATTCGTCAGAAATCTAATGAAAAACGGTTCTACACCCTATGTTTAACTATAAAATTAGCAAAAATATTAATCTGTTCAAAAAATAAGTCCAAAGCGCAAATTTTCCCTTTTTTATCAGTGCTGCAAACTTTCTCCTTTAATAAAATATGTCATTATTTTAAGGCCCAGTTGTACCAACATGAGCTAAATCCAGTTTAAAACATCGGTCATGTATTTTTCAACTATTAGCTGGTGGTTTTTATTGGTTTCTCATACTTTCATCCCCCATTTTACCCACTTAAGTTTTATTTCCACGACAAAAGCTGTAGCATATAACCGTCTCAACTTTAGCTTAACTTTTTCCAATTCAGCATGATCAACACAGTCGTTTAAAAATCCTAAGAAACAAATAAACAAACTAGAAAAATGTTTTTTTTAATTGTTAACTTTCATTTTTAAGTATTTATTATACTAGCTGTGCCCCGCGGTGTTACCCGCGGTTTATTAGGGATATTTTCCCACAATAAAACGTAGCCTATGTGTTAATTCAGCTAACTCCATACCAAATTTTATTAAAATCGCTTCAGCCGTTTAGACGTGACGAAGTAACAAACATACACACTCACACACTCACCAACTTTCGCCTTTATAATATTAGTAAGATTAAAGATACAGTGAAAAGTCTATAACATAAAATGTATAGTCCTGGTTTTGCTTCTATTTATTTAATCTGACATAGAACACATTTGTTCTCTAGCAATGAGTGACATTCTCTCTCTCTTCGTTCTATTGAACATTCATTCACACGCCAAATTACCATAATATTTTCTAGATAGATTGTGAATCATATATAAAGAATCATAATCATAACGCTGAATTTCAGTTGCAGAAAATTGATATTTTTGGGTAACTTGTCCTGTGACTATCTGTATCTGTAGGTACTGTAATAAAGATATTTAGGTACCATTTTTTTTTCTTTCCTGATTTAGGGGATCGCTTACGCGAGGTAATCAATGATTCTTTGTAGCCTCATGGCGCTGAGACTTTTATTAAGGAACAATAAAATGTCTGATTTAAAATCAATACTAGTGTATTATTGCGATCGCTATTAAATTATGCGGAAAATTAAGTCATTGCTGTCACATGCAAAGATGAAGAAAGGATGATAATATAGCTAAAAAATTACATTTGCATATTATCATAAGGACAAATCTGCCTTTAGCGATCGTTACTTCTATGAAGCAGGAAAAAATATATTAAAAACATATACCACAACAATAGATAAGACTTTGGCATAGCGATATAACAGATAGCTTAAAATATCATAAACACATAATCACGAAAATAACAAAACCAATATTTGAGTCAATATTTATTACATAATCACTATCTTCAATACAATCAAAGTCCTTCTCAATAACGCCACTCCAATTAATGAAATAACTATTTTTTAAAACAACTGACTGGAAAATGACATCACAATTAAATCACCTGGCGCTTCTTTTCACAAAACAGTGCTATTGGAAGACACTGGCACAATAGTAGAACAATTGTTCAGTTACACACAAAAGTAATTCAAAAATAACTTTAAAGTCTACAATAGATGTAATTGTATAAGTAGTATATTTAAAAATAACATAAACAAATGATACTGCGTCACCAAGACCCGACTCGAAAAGACTTTCCAATTAAACATTCAAAATATCTCGGGTATAAAAATAAACGCTTTTAAAAATTCAATGTATTCTCCGAAAGCAATAACAATGATCTTAAATTTATTTACAATAAAAAATTTACCAATTCTTCATTAGAGGCATTGTGATTTAAATCTACCTAATTCTGAGGAAATATTATTCGTGACCCTAATAGACTAGTAAGAAATGCAAATATTAATATTTTTTGTACATTTTCACTTATCAATAAGATAACACGAGATAAAAATAATAGAAAAGACTCTATTAACGGCGATATGACTTACGTGTTAACATTCAATAATATTTACTTGTCATCCATATAATTTTATATACATACATAAATTCCACATCGGTCACTGACACAAATGCACCCACACATAACATACACGACAATTTTAGGCCAGACACACACATTAATTATAAAATATGGTACTCTTTTCTGTTCTAACACATACAATAACTAATCAAATTAACCCAAAAGCGATACAACTGATGAAATATTTTTTATAGGTAGACCGCTTAACTGAGTCTTCGCCTGCGGGGTACATTCTTGTCAAAATTACAAGCGCCCGACGCCCGTACCTCTCACGGTCTCCGTTCTCGTCCTCCTCCACACCCTTTACCCCGCAGGGGAAATCTACCTTTAGTTTGTTTTCACATTGCTGGAAAAACTACAATAAAAAATATTACTTTCATCAAAGTATTGCAGTTTCTACAAGTGTCAACAGAACATCGCAAGTTTTCGATAATTTACCTATTGCGTTACCTTGATCTAACATAAACAACTTTAATTGGTGGTTTTATTGGAGTTTGCAACTTGAAATTGTTTATATTCTATTAGCGACGTGATCAAGTAATGAGTTTTAATTAGGACGATACCTTACATATATTTATTTATTTAATAAACATAATGTAACTTGGGGCCTAATTGAATCAATTCTTTTTCCGCGATCACTTTCACTTCATAGTTGGGATTGAGCAATATATTATTGAGAAAATTATGTTTCAATGACACCTTTTTGAGCTTTTGTAGGGAATCGCAGAAGAATAAATGTTAGACAATTAGCCCCTGATATTATCAATAAAAAGTCATTTCAATATTCAATCATTAATGAACTCATTAACTAACTAAGAAATAAAACCAGTATAAGCTTAACTGGTTTTATTTCTTAGTAACAGTTGTTATTTAGAACAAATTAATAAGAATATTTAGGTAACTTAGTTCTTACAAGACCCATCTCTGACTGCGGATTGATTTATTGATACGGAGCCTGTGTTTTTTCTATGTTATTTCATAACACTGCATCACTAGTCGGAACCCATTGTTTATTATGGCATGTTTCGTTAATTATAAATTAACATCAGTATTTTATTATACATAGAACAATTGTTGTATGTGTTAGCTTTTTTCTTGATTGTTAACGTTGACAACGCTTATAAATCTAGCTGCTTGGCGAATTCTTGTTTTACTTCACAACCTTTCGGCGCAATGAATGCACCTTCTTATTAGCTGTGTTGTGTTAATACGTGTATCGGGGGATATATTATGATAAGGCAAACCAGCACGTATTAACAAGATCATAAAGTATCTGTCTCATTGCGTAATCTAAATATTTTGTATCCCCTAAAATTATTTTGGCCCATTTCTTATATAAATGATTTTGCAAACGATTTATTACACAATTATAGAACCGAGATTACGCTTAAAATATTTCATAGCCTCATGATTACATCCTAACTTTTTCCTTTATTTACAACTCTAATACATGTTACCTATATGCTATTTATTTTATGACGAGTTTATGGACTTTTCAAAAATAAAAATAATTGCACGCATTTTTATTTTCAAATTTTATATCGTATCGATACGACTGTGTCGTGACCTATTGCTATATAATTGCCCGAAATAGGATCATAATATTTTCGTTGCTGAATAAATTTATTACGTTATTGCCGAGTTAGGGTCACAGTAATCATAAAATTAAGCACCGTGTGGCGAAGCGGATGCACCCGTGCATCGGCCGCCACACAAAATATGAATCTATTTGACATCGTTACAGTAACGGAGCAATGTTTTCCTTACTAGATAAAACACAAAGTACTTATGTACAATCAGCCTCAAAATCATCAAAACTTATTATTATTTAACTGTTAGTTTTAAAAACTGTAATATTTGAATGAACAGCTCCATAGTTAATATGAATGTTGATCTTTAAAATTAACATTAAGTAGTACTGAAATTCATTAATTAATTGTGATAATAATAACACATTGGTGTCGATTCTGGGATGATTTTCCAAATCTAAACTTAAATTTGACATCAGTGTATCCTTGTCATACTCTATAGAAAATGGGAGAAAAGGAGAATTTAATGTTAAATTTAGTTTTTGGGTTTATAGAATCATGCCAGAATCGACACCATTGATAACATAACCACAAATAATCCGCATGGAAAGAATTAAAAGTCAGAATATAGGTTTTCAGAATTTTTAAAGACATTATGTAAATATGAGCCACACCAACACGACCAACTTAATATAACTAAGACATCAAAATTTATAGACATTAAACAAGTTAGAATAATTTTGAAGCTGATCACATTCCAGTTACGTTTAACGCTAAGCGACATCTCGGGAATTTACAGAGATCTATTATTATGAGTCGAACAAATCGCGTTCATAGACAACGGGGAGTCGGGTGCGAGTTGATGTTTTAATGGAGAGAAGCATCGGAGAACACCCCCACTAGAGTCTGCTTCACTAAAATTTTGTTTGAAATCGAAATTAAAGTTGGTGTAGTGCTGAGAGGGTAAGCCGCCTTTTGATTGGACACGTCGGTATGAATTCACGGCTGGATGACGTAAATCATCATTGAGACTTAAAATGCCATTTTTTTATTCGTTAATCTGTCTTCTTTAAACCTAGGTATATTTTAAATCCCACAAAAATAAAAAAAATACGCTTATTTGTACATTTTTATCTTTAGTGGAATGTAAAGTCTATGTCTAAGGAAGACGATTTTTCAATTAAAAATGAATGAGTATTAAAACTCAAATTCACACGTTTTCATTTTTACTTTGGGACCGTCGAAAGTAGATGCAATATTTTTTCGCGACATTTGGGGGCGTGTTATATTCTTATGCAGTATTATATTACATAAGCTTGGCGGGTGCCCTAGTACGCGGTCCATAGTGGGGGATGGTCAGCGGGGACCGTATAAAAGGGCGTGCGCGGCACAATCACATGCCCTAGTACGCGATCTATAGTGGGGTAGTCAGCGGGGACAACATAAAAGGCTGCTGCTAGATCTGCGTGGCACGAGCGAGCAGATGCCCTAGTATGCTGTCTATAGTGGGGGCAGTCAGCGGTGACAAGGTAAAAGGGCGCTGCTAGATCTGCGTGGCAAGAGCAAGCAGATGCCCTAGTACGCTGTTTATAGTGGGGGTAGTCAGCGGGGACAACATAAAAGGGCGCTGCTAGATCTGCGTGGCACGAGTAAGCAGATGCCCTAGTACGCGGTCTATAGTGGGGGTAGTTAGCGGGGACAACATAAAAAGGCGCTGCTAGATCTGCGTGGCACGAACAAGCAGATGCCCTAGTACGCGGTCTATAGTGGGGGTAGTCAACGGGGACAACATAAAAGGGCGCTGCTAGATCTGCGTGGCGCGAGAAAGCAGATGCCCTAGTACGCGGTCTATAGTTGGGGTAGTCAGCGGGGACAATATTAAAGGGCGCGGCTAGATCTGCGTTGAGAAGCGCGGGCGCGGCAGTTCGAACACGTCGCCGTGCACGGAACGCGCCAGCGCCTTTATGCTCGCTGCGATATCCTGCGGCTCCTCCTATATCGGGGAAAGTTTTTATGAACCACCATTCACGAAGGTTCGATATTTACTTAGTTACATAAATTGTGTATTGATACTAAAAGTAACGTTCCGAAACAAAACCGGACTAAATCTAAGTTACTATAAGTAAACTACTTAACTGAGTGTTCGCCTGCGGGGTAAAGCTTTACCCCGTTTCAGTTAAGCGGTCTATCTATAGGCTACAGCATTCGCATATGGCCCCTCTTCACAATGGCCCATAATGGGCGATTATAGACACGCACGATTGTGTTAGAGAGTTCTCGGTACCTCAATGGGATGCGTGCCGATAAATATGCGCGCGTACACACAATCGCCCACTATTCAGTCGAACGGAAGAAGTAAAGGCTCGAGGAAGTGTATGTAAATTAATGCCAAAGGGTGCTAAAGTTGTATCGAAGTTCCCTAAGGTAACAATGACATAGGGGAGGGCACTGGGTCCAACTCCCAGGCCCGATTCGCACATTCCAATATTTATTGTATAATTATACTGAGCAAATAGATAGCAGCAGGCGCTGTCACTTCGACGTTCATCTTCAGCAGACGTTAGCGACGTAAATGAACATTCACAATAGGGTATTTGACAGTATTAAAAATAAAGTACCAATTATTACTATCTGTGTTTAGAATGAATATTGGCAGGGGTTTTTACTATTTTACAACAAAAATATTCATAATTTTACTAAAAACCCACGAAAAAGATAATAGTTTTCTTATCTTTTGTCACGTGACTCAAAACGCTTGGGATTGGCAGAGCCTAAAATGACGTCACACGCAAGTAAACTTCCGGTTAAAATGACATTACATTGTATCGTTTGACGTTTTAATAACAGTCGTGTGACGTCACACACTAGTAAGACGCCATATTGTCCAGAAAAACGTTATCGCGGTAACTTGAAAATGGAGTTTTTGATTTGGTTATTTTTACTGAAATACTGATGAATATCCACTTTTTACGGACTCCATAAACATTAGTCAATAACGTGAGATCGTTTTCTAAAACTTGTCAAATACCCTATCGTGTAGATAGCAATCTTTCATCGCGGCAATGATGGCCACATTTTTAATTACCCATCATGGGTCATTCTGAAGAGGTGCCTTTTATAAATTGTAAAAAGACAATAAAATAGAAAATGACAAACGTATAGAGCATACTTACATCGTCATCCAATTCTTTAGGTATGGGGCGTTCGTTAGGAAAAGGCATGTTGATTGGAAGAGAGCGAGCGATGTCTGCGGCAACCCCGCGACGTGGCCGCGAAATTTGGATGCCCTCATCGTTACTACCCTCTGGAAAAACAAAATTAAGCTTATTACATAGGGCCTAAATTTACAGAAGTTCAATTTCAGTTGGGTAGGGGATACCAATTCATTCAGACTATAACGGGATAGTAAGCAATTATAAACACGGAAAAGGGCCCAATTTATAGACGTATTTTAACCAATTAAATATCTATAGTTGATTTGGTGAACATCACCTTGACTAATAACGACTTTAAAGTTGGACTACGTAAAACTATTTGCGCTCGCGAAGCTAACTATCAGCGCTTAATAGAACCAAACACGACAATAACGACCTTATAATTGGACTACGTAGAACTATTTGCTCCCGCGAAGCGAACTATCAGGACTTAATAGAACCAATAAGTGTTGTGAATTGGTGAATATTTCTGCGCACATTATAATGATTAATACTGTTAAAGTTAAGTTATTCATCCATTCCTCATAAATATTATCAAGAATATCAATAATGAGTAGTGTTAGTTAACAAAAAGTCAAGATGTATAATGTGTTTGAATGTATATGGCGCACGTATATTTTCCGAGAACTATATTAGGTTTTTTAACAAAATTCTTACGCGCCCCTTGAAATTGGCATTTTTAGGAAGTAAAATTTTAAAATAATTTTAGTTTTAGTGAAACATACAACGAAAATTCGCCATTTAAACAAATTTAGTTTTCCCAAATACATTAAAAACCGTTATAGGCGTACTTTGATTAATAATGGTAAATATCAGATCCCTTGGATATATTGTTTTGAATTAGAGTTCCGCAAATATTTCATAACCAGACGGTTATTTTATATGGTTATTTGCTACTAATGTCTTATTTTAATGTTTTTGTTTAGGTGTCGGCATTGAAAATGGTAATTTTTCAGGACGTCGATCGCTATTTTGAAAGTAAAGTAAATAGAACAGCAAGTCGGCAACGAATACGACACAATAAAATAAAATGTCCGTACTGAGACTATAACAGCATCCATGTGCTAGAGCTAGACCATTAGAAACCAATGTTTTCTTGTACAGGTCACCACGGATATGGTCTTAGATAATAATTATATTATAATAAACCTTTATAATCATGTTATTATTATAACAATATTGGTTTTTACCACTATAAAACCGCTCCATTTTACTTATAATTGTTCAGTAAAGTGAATTTATAAAGCCTTATAAAACCAAGTAATAAATGCAAATAGTTTGCAGTATGTTCAGTTTTGTTTATCACTCCTATTGGCGTACTTGACTTATAGTAGTTCTGTAATGCTTCTTGTTAGCAGTTATAAGTATAGCTTACCAGTTTATCTACTCTTGAGGGCATTTACACCCTTGTGATACTTTTAGAAGTCACCCAAGCTTATAGTGCACCCTTAATTTCGGCCTTTAACTAATTATAAGTTAATGTATAAGATCAGATATACTACAAAGCCCATCTTACTCCATGCTTTCTATTATATGCGTGGCAGTAAATGCTAAAACCGTTAAGAGAATATTATAAGTGCTGGAGACCTACATCTGCACTATAGGATAATTTTGTTGCTTGGGTAGGCAACGCGTTAGTGGGTACTCTGGGATCGCAAGCGTCTTTGGTAACTTACAAACAGACAATCCACTCAATAAAACCACCTGGACAAGTGAGAGCCGGACTCGTACACCGAGGGTTCCATAAAAAATTGTAGGTACGCAATATAAACTTCAGCGGATCTCTTTTTTAGGTTAACTTAGAAGTTTGATTCGTTCACAGATTCAAGGGACTTTTAGACCTGACTATATGTTTTAAATTTTAACACGATTCCCTCATGTGTTTCCGAGATAAAGCGTCTTGACGGACAGACAGATAAACCTAAGTATCTTTTTTACGTTAACTTAGAAGTTTGAATTTTTCACTGCTTTTGCTGCACCGTAGACCAGAGTATATGGTTGAGGTTTAAATTTCAACTCTATACCTCTACTCCCTTATTAGATAAAGGGTCTTAATTGACAGTCAGACAGACAGACAACAAAGTGATCCAATAAGTGTTCCTTTTTTAGGGTTCCGAACCTTAAAAGGAAAAAACGGAACCCATATAGGATCACTTTGTTGTCCGTCCGTCTGTCAAGACCGTTTTTCTCAGGAACGCGTAGAGGTATCAAACTCATAACTAATACTCATGTCTACTGTCCCTTAGAGCTGCGAAAAAATCAAACCTCTAAGCCAAAGCAATCAAAAGATACAGCCGTTTATGCCGCAATTTTCGAAACTCGCACGGGAATCTAAACCTACAGGGTACTTCCCGTGAACTTAGAATCTTGAAATTTGGTACGAAGTAAAGATAAAGGAAAAATTGCGAAACTGTAAATTTTTAGTTACATCATATAATAAAAAATATTTTTGAAAATTTAAAAGTTACTACCTCTTTTCTCATGAAATCGTAGAGGTATTCAATTGAGTTTGTACCGAACCCTCGGTGCGCGAGTCCGACTCGCAATTGGCCGGTATTTTTTCTTTTGAGGTACGGAACGCTAAAAAACAAAAGCTTAATAGGTATTTTTAATTCTAACCCCGCGAACTTCGTACCACATTTTTTATCAGATTATCTTTTTTTTTTCAATGTATAATTATTATCTTTACTATTAACAAAAATATCAATTACAAAAGCTTAAAACTACCTTATGTCTAAAAACGTAAAAACAAGAAATAACTAAGAACTTAAATAATATACAATTTACAGAATAAAAAATATATCACCCCCAGCGCCGCCGTCAGGAATGGTGCCCAATAGGCTGGCAGCATTTCCACGTTGGATAGCGAGGCTAATCCGTTGGTCGAGGTAGCTGCCAGCCTTTTGATCACCGGTCACCTCGGTGAGTCTCGAGCGCTTGGACCCCATGGTCCCATAGTCTCCACACCAAACGGTACAAATATGTAGCTCTCATTGAGAGCTGAATATTTGCGCCGCTTGGAGCACTCGGCGGAGGCCGTCACCGCCCCTGCAGCCAGGGAGGTACTACTTGTATGGCACGGAGCAAGCGTATCCACGCAAGTTGCGTCCCACACAAGAGGACGACCCTGCTTCCAGGGAATGAGCGTCATTCCGTCAGGTCTCTTGCCATCGTCTCGGAAGATGCCGCTGGGCTCTAGGGCCGCTGGCACATTGACTGCGACAAGAGCTCTGCGGATGACGTCATTGATGCAGGCGTGACGGGAGACTCGACCAGCGCTCATTTGGCATGAGAGACCATGTTGTTCCAACTCACCGACGCGCGTTCCGCAACGACAACGATGGGGGTGATTTGTCTTGACGCCGAGTCTGAGTGAAATGGCAAGTGATAGAAAACTTCTGTCAAACAGAGTCCCTATATTGGCTGAAGGAAGAGCTTGCAGCCAGTAACCAGACTCTACTTGAAAGACCGCTAGGAGGCGAGCACGCTCAGCTGCGTTTTCAGAGGAAGCTAGAAGATCACTCTGAAGACGCAAACAGAGTGGCTCGTCCCATTGCCTCTGTGAAAATAAGTAGGAAGGTAGATTTACTCCCGGGCATGCCCTGCACCAAGCATTCCTGGCCTCTGCAAGGTGAGCCAGCTCCACTACGCCTAAAGAAGGACATAGTATTTTATTAAAAAGCTCGGCTGTACCATTTGCAGAAGACAGAAAAGCGGGAAGGGCAATATGTGAAATATGGCGAGTACCAAGTCCTCCGAAACGAACAGGGAGAGAGGCTTGCTTCCAGGCGTTATCAGAAAATGAACAATTTAGAATTTTGGAAAGTGTATCTCTGAGCAAACTGTCAATAGATGACAGTAGCCCTGGAAAAAGCCAAAAATGAGTACTACGTAAAAAATATATGAATTTTGGGGCAAAAGCGCAAAAACGTATTAAATACAAAGCCATGTGAGGATTAATTTTTAACATTTTTTTCGGAGGACTGCTGAAATTTAGAAATTTGTTCATCAATAAAAATCGGAATAGCATCGTCAAATATGGGGGACCCTAGGAGACGGAGTGATTTATTATCTAGAATTTTAATATTAGGAGCTAAAGCCGAAAATTCGGTAATAATGCGTTGTAACTGATCCTGTGAAAATTTTGATTCTGGTATAAATAGTTCGCATTTTGAATAATTTAGATCAAGACCAATATTTTTAAATTTATCAATAATTATGTGAAAATCTGAAAGAACTGTTGAAATATCGCCAGCGATACTTCCGTCATCAAGGTACCACACATTAAATTTTGAATTTAGCGAATCAATAATAGGTTGTATTGACAAACTAAAGATAGCGGGCCCGAGAGGATCGCCTTGCTGACAGCCAAAAGATGAATACAACAATGCAACAGGTTGTTTTTAAAAATAAGTTTAGTCGGTTCGCTGTAGCATTGCCAAAGATATTTATAAATAGTGGGAGTTTTTTCTTTAATTACTGTAAGCAAGGCACCTCTATCTACGGAGTTGAAGGCATTCTTGACATCCACCTTCAGCACCACCTCCGCAGCGTCAAGTGATAGAAAGGTGCGAAGAGCGTGAACGGCTGCTTCACAACCACCCTTGACGCCAAAACCAAGCTGCACCGGTTGGAAAACAGCTGAAAGTGTCGGTAAAATATGTTGACAGCAAATTTTGGATGCTATACGACGGAGGCCGCCATCTTTTTTCTTTAGAGCAATTAAGTTGGCCCCGTAAAGGATCTCGACAATGTCTTTAGGTACTTCGCCGGATAGCATTAAGTTTAAAAATGAGTGATATTATGTAATAGGACTCTGCCAGCGTCGCCGACTGAGATTGAAAGGAGGTCTTTTAAATGTTGTGGTGACAAACCATCTAGACCACTGGCAGAGTCACTTTTGAAGGAGTATATCGCGGCTGATACGTCAGAATCTTTGCTTATTAGATAAGCAAGTGTTGTTTCAGGTGGCGAAGGAAGGAGAAGAGTTGGTGCTGGAGGTGGGTGCTTGTCTTCAAGAGCACGAAGGGTCTCCTGGCAGTTGACGGCGACAACATCGTGGCTGAACAGTAGTTTTGCGGCTCCTCGGAGATCGCCATCGCTAATTTTTGATTCAATTAATTTTATAGAATTATTAGATTTTGGAGGCCGAGCCGGAAAGACTAAAGAATTCACAGAAGGATTTAGGCTTTTTTTGTGTAAGTGATGAACTAGTACTATTTGCATTAATATGTAAAATTCTATAGGAAAATGTTAGAAGTTCTGCCCAACTCTCAGGCGTGTTTACTCTAAGCACACGTTCGATACATTGTGATAAAGAAACAGCGACTGAGGGCCGTGCAGAACGAGGTATTCTTTTTATAACTGGAAGTGTATTTTTGAGATTACCAAGAGTTTTGCAAAGTGGTTCGTTACCTGAATTTAGAGATTGCGAAACTGCTGGCACAGATGCAGAAGATTTATGCAGCCTGTCAATGTGTATATTTAATCCCCGGTTACCTTTAAAGAACCGGGGTTGTGTGCACTTAGGACATTGTATCAGTTGTGCGTCGTCACTGCCAGGGACGGGATTTGCCGACATTCAATTAGAAAGAGCGTCAAGACTATACTAGAAAATATTAAAATGAAAATAACTCTATAAACTTATTGGAAAAAACATACAAAACAAACATGAATATTATAAAAACACAACAAATTTTTAAATGTCAATTTCATTAATTGACACGTCCGTCAAGGTTGCTTGGCTGCCGTCACAATTCGAGCATCCTACTGGCTATGAAGAAGCGGGCACCTAGCAACAGGAGCGGCTGTTCAAGGCGTCCTTAGAAACAATCACTTTGGCAAAACGTCTGCAAAACAGCTGATTTTATGGAGAGAAATACCAAAGATAAACACCACAGCACAGCCTGCCCACATGCGGGCACATGAATAGAACCTTGGGCTGCCAAAAACTGGTCTTCTTTTTCCCAATATACGTTGAAAACAATTTTTAAACAATATTATACCTGGACGATGATGATGACGGTTGTAATTTTTTTTTTAATTTGTTTAATATACTAACCTTTCCCTGACAATAACGCTTGTTATTGTACTTCACACTACTTTGGTGAAGTTGTTTGTTTGTAATGCGAGTATAAATATTTCGGCGATTCATTTTTATTATTAATACAAATAACATAAGATTTCCTCTTCTTTTTCAAAGAGAATCAAACCCTTGCTTCGTGCAGATACCTTGATCGCTTAGCTATCAGAGCGATGATTTGAGATAGAGAAATAATCTCGCATTATCGTAAATCCGTTGTGATTAATTGTATAAGGCGTTATCCAAACAATAGTGGAAATGTTAGCAAATATGAAGGTCAATGTGTTCATAATCAGTACGTATTTGACATTTATATAAACTGAAACTGCACGTTTAAAAAAAATTAAAATAATATGGTGTAGTAGTTATAATTATGAAAAACTATCCTATAAATTTGCCAGATAATGACAAATCATTGCCAAATTTTCTATTCCCTACTCAACTCTCATTTCCAAACAGTATCAAGTTGGTATTGTCCTTGTTTATGAACAGTCTCAAAAGCTTATATAAGTAGTAAGTTTCCAATTGCATTTTTTTCAATATAAAATGAATGTTTTGATGATATAATAAAACTGTTAACATACGATCTGAGTCATAGTCGTCTTGATCAGAATTCATGTTGTTATGGCTGTCTGTTCCCTCTAATTCAAAGAGGTCCTCTGCATCTAAAGAATCTTCTTCTGGAGGAAAGTTTTGCACAGGCTGAAAAATAAAGTTACACATATCATATTTGTAAAGCACCAAATCAAGTAAATAAAATGACTATGAATAATAAATTGTCTGTCCGTCTGCCAGCAGGCTGCATTTCTTGAATAGACAGTTAAAATTTTCATAGGTTAAATTTTTTTATTCACACACTTGCTGATATCACAACAAATAATAAAAATATTTAATTGAAAGTTTTTACATAATAGTTTGTGTTTGGCTATTTATAATCACTGCCATTCATGTGCTGTTAAATCTCTATGATGGTAGGAAACCTTGTGCGAGTCGAACACATACTTGACTTAATTAATTTTGATTCATATTTAATGCTAATGCATGTAGTACCTTGTTTCTAAATGTGAATCAACGCAAAACATTTTCTCACACAAGTATGCAGTATCTTCTATTATTTACAACTCTTAATTGATGATAAAACAGATTCAGGATTTGTAACATTTATGTGAAAGACATGTTTTGTCATAAAAGAATATATTATTACAAATATTTAATATTACCAGCATTTTAATATTGAAAGACTAAGACTAGGTTTAAAATCTAATTGGAGCTCTATTGGGAGAAAGTTAAACAACAACTTACTTTAATAATATTTTGGGCAAGTTTTTTGGCATCTTTGAAAGAGGACAGTCTTCTTCTCTGTAGAGGAGGTATTTGTGGAGATGGAGGGCCATTGTCTAGGCTTGTGTCTGCCTGCCAGCCATTGTTATCCACATTGCTTTGTGCTTTGTTTATAATACTGTAGAAAAATATCATATTACCACCATACTACAAAAAAGGCTAAACTATATTTATTTATTTATTGTGATAAAAATGACAAAAATCAATTGCATTTAATATAATAATAAATGCAATACCTACCTAGCTAAAATTTTATGATCTCTTTGTGCTCGTTCTCTGTAAGCTTCAAATTCTGCATATTTCTGGTCTCGGTACTGCCTGACTGAATCCTCAACAGCTTCGAGTTGTGACTGTAGTGTTTTACTTAGCTGCTTGCTCAAGTTACCAATAACATGCTGCGCAGGAGCCCATGCTCTCTTATCATTAACTTTAACATTGTTTGTATCTATGTTCTCCTTCATTTCAATATCATGCGTTATTTCTGGTACCAGCAGATTAAATACAGGAGAAAAGTTACTTGATTTCTTTAAAGTGTTCATTTTCTCCAAAGTAGTCTGGAAAAATTCATTTCAATGTAGTATTTATTTTATGATATACTTAAGGTTACATAGCGTTACAAGATTTAATAAATACACAGCTAAGTAATTTAGCTGTGTATTTATTAAATGTTTTAACGAAATATACAGATAATATATATTTTTTAACTAATTGCTCAATTTTGTAAATAATTTATGACAAAGAAACAAAAAGTGCTTTGTTATTAAACCTTAGAAGGGTAATTCTACAGGGTGACAGGAAAACTCAACCTATTCCTTGAAAGGGTTTATACATGCCATTCCGCTGATTTTAATAATTACAGCTTATAAAGTTAATAATTTTTGTAACTTAATAACTTTTCTAACTAATGTTAACGTAAATTTGACTTATAACTTGGAAAGTTTATGAAACTAGTTTGTCATTTACTAATTTGTACACCATTTAATTATTTTCCAATAATTTACAGCGAAGTTCAGGGAAAATACAAAAAATAAACATTATTTGTTACTAAAGTCCTTTAATTTCTGAGACTGTGTAAGTTTTGGGCAAGCACTTTTTAAATGATCACATATTTTTCAGCTTTCTGATAAATATCAATTCTATATTAAGAAAGGAGTAGTTTGTTTATAATTAATGGTTTTTGGCAGCAACTCAGAAAAAATCGAAAAATCTAAGAACCATCACAACTGGGTAACCATCCAGTTTTGACCCCGAGTTCACTGGACATAATTTGTTGCTAATGACCCCTAGTATAACCCCTTTCAAGGAATAGGTCGAGTTTTCCTGTCACCCTGTATACATGTAACATGTATTGACAAAGCTGTTTATAAAAAAACGTAGATTTTACCTGAAGAGATTTAGGTAGTAAAGCTAAATTTGATGCAGATAGCTTGTCATGGAGTATAGCATGAGTCGTCTGTCCGCATGCAAGACAAGAATGCAGAGTCCAGCGACCCACAATGCGTTGCCCTACCAGAGCTTGCTGAGCCACAAAGCTCTTTAAAGAGTCAGCTGGTACAGTCAGCATGTTCTGAAAAGTTATATGACAAGATAGTTTTCTCTGCATTATTATTACTAGCAACTGCAATACAATAAAAAAGTAAGAAGTTTACTTCTTTGAACAATAAAACATGTTTTCATTGCAGTATTGTGGAACATAATATTAATATCGAAAAAGTAAATTGTCTAACTAAGAGGCAACCAGAAGAATGAAACCTACAAAAAAACTTAACCCCTATTATTTGTTCCATATTCTAACTGTGTCAAAATAGTGTTATTTGTAGAAGTAGATACAAAAATAACCTATTTCTAGAACGTAAATAATCGGGTGTAGTGCCGAAAGCACATGAGGTGTGTGTTATTTTTATAATTATTTTTAAATACTGGACTAATAAATAGCAACTATAACATTTATAAATCTAATTAATTAATTATCGGGAAGCTAACAGGAGCCCCTCTTCAAGTCAAGGTCAAGACATGTTTACCGACTGTACCTCACTGAAAAAAATATCCCTTTGTTCCATGGATGTTAACTCCAATTTCACGATATCGAAGTTATCATCAATTTTATCACATTCTAAAGATACATTTAAACATTTACAAGCACAGAGAGCCATTGCGTTTGCAATTTAGTGCTGATTTGATTAATCTAAACAATAAAAAACACTGAACAATTGCACAGTTTGATAGCGAGTATTTATTTATTTATATCTCTGTATTCTTTCAACTTCGATTTAGTAGGTATCTTTACACCGCTAATGAGATCACCTGTTCTTTTATCTTTTTCTAACATATAGCAGAAGAAAGAGATAAGAAAAAATTTTTTGACGTTAGACAATTTTAAGAATAGCATACTCGTTTTGACATTATAATATTTTATTTTAATTCTCTTGATTTTAATGCAACAGAATATAGATCTGCACAGCCACCGGCAGTATTATTTAGTTTATTATAAGTTAAGATAATCATGCCAGAATCGACTGCATTGATTTAAATCAAATTCATCGGCAAGTTTTTTATATTCTAGGCAGTTAGTGCTACTGTAAACTCTTAATTTCTTCTTGACCAAGTCCAGGATAGAACTCTTTTGCTAATTTGGCAAGATTTTTATCTGGTGTAGGTACCTTAGAATAAAGGATACAAGATTTTCACATACAAATGTAAAATAACAAAAAGGGTCGCTGAAGGACTCGACTCCAACACCATCATCATTGGGATAAAATTAAAAACAAATTACCGTCAAAGTCATTTAGTGATGTATCAGTATATTATTTTGGTATTCAATTGCTCCTTAAAGCCATACCTAATCGAGTAGGTCAAAGTCCAAAGAAGAGGTAATCAGCCCTATGAATAAAGTTATATGAGATGAAAGAATATTTATGTATATTTATATAGAATTATGTACATACTATTTATATCATTATGTTATTTATAAATCTATAGCTACACCATAAAAAGTAGAAAGGTATTTATAATTCTGTTGTGCATATCAGTAAAAAACGAAAATCAAATTCTGTTTTCGTATACATATTTCTTCAAAAGTTGATTGTCTGTAAGTCTATTTTTTTGTTAAAATAAAAAATAACATCTAAAAAATGCAATTGATTATTAAATGGTATTTCAATTTATTAAATATAATAGTAGAATAATAAGTCAATCAGTTTATCATCGTTTTACAATCGTTTGCTAATTTACTGCCCAACATTCAAATTGACATATTATATCACAATAACAATGACAGTGACAGGCAATGTTAATATGTCACAAAAAAAAGTTGCGTGTCGTTTGTAATGTGGTAGAACTGGAAATTTATTTGTACATTTTTTGAAATACGTGGCTCGTTAAGATATTTTATTAAGATATTATTGAAAATTTTATATTCTTTAGGATTCCTAAATATGCACAGCATTTTGTAAAAAATCTGGTTTATTTATTCGTAGAGGTTATTTAGCTAGTCTGTCGGTAAAGTTTGTAGGTTTAAAATGTCTAAAAGAAGTCAACCGAATTGGACTCCTCCAAGGGCTGAGAAAAGACCTGTATTAAAATTGTATAACAGTCTATCGCGTGCGAAAGAAGAGTTTGTGTGTGCGACTGGTAACAGGGTTAATTGGTACAGTTGCGGGCCGACAGTGTATGATGCTTCCCACATGGGTCATGCTAGGTGAGTTAAAAAAGTATACAATATTTGTATTTACTCTATTTTGAATATGGTTCGTGCTGGTTGGTTATAGCTCAGATTACAGGACAAAAGGTAGATTACAGAACAGAAGGAGTGCACGAGTGCAGAACATGCAATGCGTGGCACCAAAACAAATACAAAGTCGACAGTAAATCCTTTTTTTTCTCTGTGAATAGTTTTTACAATGTTTGAACAAAGTGGCACAGTTTTAATAAAAACTTAATATTCACGGGATGTATTCACAACATGATACGTTGTAGTGAACTATCTTGAAACTTCGTATTCGCATTGGTGCCACATTTTGCCTGTTCTGTAATCCGAGGGTTTTAGTTGATTATAACTGTGTAACTATGATTTGATAAGGATGGGCAGATTTCTAATTTCTAGTACATTAACAACATTAAGAACGTAAGTTTTGTAATTACCTGAATATAAGAAATCCTATTAAAGATTTCATTGTTTAGGCAGAGAATTTATAGTCTTCATCATCTCATTTCTTGTTATAGTTTTCTGTTAATTTAAGTAACTACTACTCACTAAATGATTTGTTCTAGATCTTACATATCTTTTGATATACTAAGAAGAATTTTGTCAAATTACTTTGGATATGACATATTGTATGTCATGAACATAACAGATATTGATGATAAAATCATCAAAAGAGCTAGACAAAATTATTTGTATGAGAAGTATTTAAAGGATCCGAAGAACCTCAATGAAACGGTAGATGATGCAATAGCTGTTGTGAATTACTATGAAGCTGTAGTCAAACAAACTGGGGATTCAGATAAAAAGAATGCTCTTCAGAAAATGTTGGACAAGTAAGTTAGCAAATTAAATTTTATATGTTATTTTAAAAAATGGGTCATATTTTATTTCTTCACAAAATACATTGAAAAAAGTTGTATGACACATGAGTGTAAGGTTACGTTATTACAAATGCATACCACTGAAAATGCTTATTCATCATAAACTACTTTCCGCACATGTATGAAAAATAAATTATGGCTAACTAAGGAGTTCTTTCCCCATTTTTACTATTTAACTATAGTGCTTGTACATGTTTCAACTTAGGTATCATTATTATTCATGAATTTTAGTGTTGCTACATCGGTGAAAAGTCTGCAGTCTGCTGTTCAAGAAAATGTTGATGAAAAAATCAAAATTGCAAGATGTGAAATGCTCAAGTCTGCAAAGGATCCTATATCTGATTGGCTGGATCATAAATATGGTGCAACTGTTACTGACAATGCAATATTTACTTCTTTACCTAGATACTGGGAAAATGAATTCCACAAAGATATGAAAGCACTAAATGTAAGTTTTCTAAGTTTTGGTTTGGGATAATAGAAACTTTTTCAGAAAAGAAAATAATCATATATTATTCATTATTTGCAGGTATTACCACCTGATGTATTAACAAGAGTTAGTGAATATGTACCGCAAATTATTAAATTTATAGAAAAAATTATAGATAACGGTTTAGCATATGAATCAAATGGATCTGTTTATTTTAATGTGTGTGAATTTGATAATAGAGAAAACCACCATTATGCTAGACTAGTTCCAGAAGCCTATGGAGATACCAAATCATTGCAAGAAGGGGAAGGTAAGCAAATAAAAGTACTTTATTTCACGTATATTAAGCTAGCAGACCATGGTTGCAACGCGCACATCAAACCTACTGGGTATTTAGTTGCTAATTAGTTACACTATTCCCGATTTAGTTGCTCAATACCTGTAAAAGATGCAAGAGATCTGCTAGATTAAGTCTTAACCTAGCAGACCACAATACTGTATCTTCGGTTCTCGTAAAGATATCGAAGTTCTGCGAAACGGCATATTTAGTTGCTTATTAGTTGCTGTAGGACAGCATTATTTGTATTATCCCCCCATCATCCCCTAATTGCCGCACCAGCACCCACACTAACCTCGAAATACGATAAAATTAAAAAGAGCTCATCAGAGAATATAAACTACGGCGTATTTTGTTGCTAATTAGTTGCTGCAAAATAGCGTTGTTTAAAAAATTTAATTATCAACCCTTAATAACTCCCTGCAGCCACCCCAGAATAGGAAGATATCGGAAAATTCTCGTAGGTGGAAAAAAGACGCGGGATATTTAGTTGCTAATTAGTTCCTCGCCAAAAACGCAATTAAGAGTATACTACAATCATTGTAATCCTTGGTGATTTTAATGCCCACCACTCCGAATGGCTTGGATCGCCCACTACCGATCATGCAGGCAGATCTGCTCACGACTTCGCCTTTGCCTATGGTCTGACACAACTGGTCACATCACCTACGCGAATCCCAGATGTCGAATACCATACACCTTCACTCTTGGACCTTCTGCTGACTTCACATCTGGATAATTACAAAGTGTCCGTAGATGCCCCTCTTGGCTCCTCGGACCATTGTCTAATCCGGAGTGTGGTGCCACTCACTTACTCACCGCGGCCGCAATTTGCTGGCTGTCGTCGTGTGTGGCACTATAAGTCAGCAGACTGGGATGGGATGCGCACTTTCTTTTCATCCTACCCTTGGGGCCGGGTTTGCTTCTCGCAGAATGATCCCAACGTCGCTGCTGATTCTGTCGCCGATGTTGTCCTTCAGGGTATGGAACTTTTTGTTCCTTCCTCTGGGGTTCCCATTGGTGGCAAATCCCAGCCTTGGTTTGGTCACCACTGTAAACTGGCATCTCGCCAAAAACAGATGTGTTATCAGGCCTGAGCAAACGCAGCGGCGGTCGGGGATAACAACACTAGCGATCTCAAAAAGAAGTATAACTTGGTCTCCAGGTCCTGCAAAAGAGTAATTGCCAGAGCGAAATCGGAGCACATTAGCAGCATTGGCGAGAGATTTAATAAAACTTCCCTCTGGAACCCGCGCGTTTTGGTCTCTTACCAAGGCTGTTGAAGGAAATTTTTGTAAGCCATCCCTTCCACCCCTGCACACTGGCGACGAATCAATGGCCCATACTGCAAAAGAGAAAGCGGATCTTTTATGCTCACTCTTTGCGTCTAACTCGACTCTAAATGACAGGGGATACATACCGCCGACCATCCCGCGGTGTGAATGCTCTATGCCGGAGATCCGGTTCACACAAAGCTTAGTGCGTAAAGCACCCTTTTCCCTTGTCATCCACAAGTCGAGCGGGCCTGATGGAATCTCAACAATTGTGCTGAAGACGTGTGCTCCTGAGCTGGCTCCGGTACTGACGCGTCTTTTCCAGCTCTCCTACTCTTTAGGTGTCGTTCCGAACTCATGGAAGACAGCTTTAGTGCACCCGATTCTTAAAAAAGGCGACCGCTCACTCCCTACTAATTATAGGCCTATAGCCATCACCTCCTTGCTCTCCAAGATAATGGAGTCCATTATAAATTGCCAGCTCCTGCGGTACCTAGAGGACCACCAACTGATCACTGACCACCAGTACGGTTTCCGTCAGAGTCGCTCGGCTGGTGATCTACTAGTATACCTGACTCATCGTTGGGCAAAGGCGAAGAGACCAAGGGGGAAGCATTGGCGGTCGGTCTGGATATTGCGAAGGGCTTCGATCGGGTTTGGCACAAAGCGCTTCTTTCGAAGCTTCCTTCTTATGGGCTTCCTGAAAAGCTGTGCGTTTGGATCACTAGCTTTCTTGCGGACAGGAGCATCAAGATCGCAGTCGACGGTGCATGCTCGGACTCCAAATCCGTAAACGCTGGTTTTCCGCAAGGCTGTGTGATATCATCTACGCTGTTTCTTCTTCATATCAATGATATGCTTCAAATTGATGGCATTCATTGTTATGCAGACGACAGCACGGGTGATGCTCTATATACTGGCCGCGCTAACATATCACGGGAAAATGTCATCGAGTGCCGGAACAAACTTGTGTCTGAAGTCGAAACTTTGTTAAACCAAGTAACGAATTGGGGCCGACTTAATCTATACTTCGACTTTTTATTAGCTGCAGTAAAATGACGTTTCAAAATGTCATTCTGTAAAATAATGTTGACAGCCTAATTTCAATAGGGATGTGCTTAGGTTCACAGAAAATCTAATCGTTCCATAAGTAACTCATAATGATCATACTTAATTCTATTTATTATTCATATAAATAAAAGGCTGTACCAAAAGGCCAACTTCTCGAAAGAGACATTGAGAAAAATTATGAAGCATCTTAATTTCAAATTCGCTACTCGATCACGCAAGAGCGTACTTATTGATAGACAAGATATCATATCATGGTGCCGCGCTACCTGCGTTTAATTAAACAATATCGTAGGGAGGGAAGATACATATATTATCAAGACGAGACCTGGATCAACGCTGGTAAGTGGCAACACTTAGATTTCTATGCTTGATCCCCTTTTATTTAGCTGTCGAAACATGATTATTTTTTGTTCTTTCAGGTCATACTACAAAAAAAACCTGAAATGGTGGAAGTATAAAATCTTCTCGGCAGGCATTTTTAGACGGTCTAACTACGGGATTAAAAAATCCCACAGGAAAGGGCAAACGACTCATAATAAGTCACATAGGCGGAGAAGAAGGCTTCCTGGACGACGGACTTCTTATGTTTGAAGCAAAGAAAGGTACAGAAGATTACCATGATGAAATGAACGCAGAGTGTTTCGAGGAGTGGTTCGACGGCATTCTACCCAAACTCAAGCCGAATGCAGTAGTCGTAATGGACAACGCGCCCTATCATTCTAGGAAGATCGAAACAATCCCAAAGATGTCGTGGACGAAAGCACGAATTCAAGAGTGGCTGACCACTAAAAATATTACATTTGAACCAAATATGGTGAAAGCCACTCTCATAGATATTGTGACACAACAAAATCATACTGAGAAATATGCCGTGGAGATTGCTGAAAAAGGTATCAGACTTTTAAGACTGCCCCCTTATCACTGTGAATTGAACCTCATCGAGTTGGCTCAGGTAACCCTTTACCACGTCGCAAACAATAATAAAACATATAAAATGCAAGAATTGAAAACTTTATTCCAAGAACGAATCAACAAAGTGACACCAACTAAGTGGAGTGACTGTGTCTCACACTATAAAAGAGGAAGACAAAATGTGCCTCCTCGATCATATTATAGAAGAAGTGACAGACAGATTTGTCATTAGCGTGACCGGAAGCGATAGTGATTCCGAAAATGATTGATTAATAAATAACATTGTTATGACAATTTTGTTCAATTTTGGATGTACGTCCTTATACTTCCACTGAAAAAGATCAATCCTTTACTAAAGTAATAATAATAGAATAAAAAAATATTACAACTTAATATTAAATCTCTAAAATAAAATCAAACTGATCACTCATTTATTGAATGATTCGCTTACTCACTTAGCTACATCCCTATTTATTTTTCTTTAAAAAGCGGTAACCCACAAAACGTCATTTTACTGCAGCTAATAAAAAGTTCTACTTTAGTCCAATTTAACCCTACGAAGACACAAGGATGCGCGTTCACCGCAAAAAAAAATACCATTTATCGTATCTCCTCTCTTTGAGAACACTCCTCTAACTGCCTCAGCTAGAATTGGAATTCTTGGCGTTGACATACCGAGCGACGTCCTGTTTCGGGATCATTTAGAGGGCAAGGCCAAATTGGCCTCTAAGAAGCTTAGTGTGCCCAATAAATCGAGAATGTACTTCACACCGGCCCACTTACTGCAACTTTATAAGGCACAGGTCCGGCCTCACATGGAGTACTGCTCTCATCTTTGGCGGGGGCACCCCAGTACCAGCTTCTCCCTTTGGATCGCATCCAGCGCCGAGCGGCTCGAATCGTCGACGACTAGGACCTTTCCGATCAGCTTGATCCTTTGGCTTTGCGTAGGGATGTAGCTTCGCTCTGCATCTTCTATCGCATTTATCATGGGGAGTGTTCTGAGGAATTGTTCGGATTAATTCCAGCTGCTGCATTTCGCCATCGTACATCGCGACAAAAATTTCATCCCCATCATCTTGATGCGTGCGTTTTTGTCGAAATTTTTTACCACGTACGACAAAACTGTGGAATATATTGTCGCCAGCAGTGTTTCCGGACCAATACGACCCAAAAACCTTCAAAAAAAGAGCGTACTCCTTCCTTAAAGGCCGGCATCGCATTTGTGATACTCCTGGTGTTGCAAGTGTCCATGGGCGACGGTGATCACTTACCATTAGGTGAGCCGGCTGCTCGTATGCCACCTATAACATAAAAAAAAATCCCCTAACCTCAGATCCAACCCCTCTACTCACTTAGAAACAGTAGATGGTTGGAATTCGCACGAAGATTTTTAAAACTGCTGGATGTTTTGTTGCTAATTAGTTGCTGAAAAATAGCGTTGTTTATAATATTTAATTAACAACCCTTAACTACACGTATATTAACGTCCTTATTTCTGTGCTATTCAAAATTACAAATTCTATGTTTCTTTTTTGCTAAATCATATTGACAAGGGCGATTATCTTAAGTTAGCAAATATAATGTTTAAATATTTCAAACTAACATTATTTCTTAAGGTTATTAAGCTTTCTAATATATTTATTTGAATGCATGTCGAATGCATGATAATCAATTTATATAGTTATACTAGCTGACCCAGCGAACTTCGTACCGCCCTAAAAAATAGGGGTTGTCCAGCGGACAAAATTGTGAATCTAAACCATTCTCAGATCCCCTTGAACACACACAAAAAATTTCATCAAAATCGGTCCAGTCGTTTAAGAGAAGTTCAGTGACATACACACTCACAGAAGAATTATATATATAAAGATTAAAAACACTTACACAATTTGTCATCTTATTCGATATAACTCCAAGAGTGAAAACTTTAAAAGTTACAAGCTTTTAATACTTTATTATGAATCTGTGTTTCAATAATAAATAGAATCAGTTTTTATAGAACTCCAGACTATGCATGATCACAGCATAAGGAACTGTTCTTATACCTTCTTATATATTCTTAGTCTGATACCTTTGCCCACCTCGTACAGCCTAAGTAAGTCATAAAATATTGTTGTACAGGTGATTTGACTGATGACACAGCTGAAAAACGATCTCCAAACGATTTTGCCCTTTGGAAGCGCAGCAAAGCAGGGGAGCCTTCTTGGGATTCTCCTTGGGGTGCAGGCAGGCCTGGTTGGCACATAGAGTGTTCTGCTATGGCTTCAGATATTTGCGGTTCTAAATTAGACATTCATACAGGTGGTGTAGACTTGAAGTTTCCCCACCATGACAATGAGTTGGCTCAAAGTGAAGTAAGTCTTTTAAATTCCAGCTATTATATGTATGTAGTGGGCGGAGTAACACTGATCCTTAAGTCCATACAATAAAGGTCAATATAGTTGTAGCTTGTATTTTTCTTTTAATTTGTTTTAGGCTCACTTCGATCTGCCAGGCTGGGTAAACTACTTTCTCCACACAGGACACTTGACAATTGCGGGCTGCAAAATGTCCAAATCTCTAAAGAACTTTGTCACCATTTCTGATGCCTTGAAACGCCATACGGCAAGGCAACTTCGTATTGCATTTCTGTTACATGGATGGAAAGAAACGCTTGACTACTCAGACAACACAATGGAGATGGCGATACAAACTGAAAAATTATTTAATGTATGGAAATTTTATAGTTTTATTACTAGCTTTCCACCTTTGACTTTTCCCGTTAACTTTAATTTTGTACAATATTTTTATTCCTTTAAGAATCTTATACAAAGTATTAAAATACTTACTAAAAAAGATAAATTTAAAAAATCAAAAAACCCGACTGCTTAATTATACTTCAAATAAATACTGAAAACAAAAAAAAAGTCCAGTAGTCTATAATTCTGTTAATAAGGAACAAAGCTACTTTAACAGTCGGGACCCATTAGATATTCAAGAATACATAATATTTTTCAACAGTGGGTCCCGACTGTTAAAGTAGCTTTGTTCCTTATTAACAGAATTATAGACTACTGGACTTGTTTTTTTCTTTTCAGTTTTTATTTGAAGTATAATTAAGCAGTCGGGTTTTTTGATTTTTTAAATTTATCTTTTTTATTTCACACTTTTTAGTTAGTTAGTATTTTAAGACGGTATATACCGTAGTCTTGTTACTTCAGTAAGGGAATTAATATCGCGGGAATTATTAAGTATCTTGCGTCGGTCTAAAAGATTGATTTATTAAGACATATAGAGACTTTACCAGCGAGGTCAAGGCTACAATAAATTTTCGCAAAAATGTGTGAAGTTAAATCAAGTCGTTACATAAATATCTCTAATGTATGTAAATTTTATAGTAAACTAGCACTTACTCAAAAAGTCATCTTTTGTATATGTTTTTTTAATAGTTTAGCAGTAAATATAAAATACATTTACTTTTATTCGTCGACTATTTAAAATTGGTAGTGGCTGCATTGTCTTGTCAATGCCGGACGACTAAGATTCTGATATACACAAATGCAGTGTCAGTTCCTAGTGTCATAATTTGATATACCTACATAATTCACAGAAACCCAATATGTAGATGCCAGAAGTTAACTTCAAATGTTTTTAATCACCTATATACAATACCAATCAATGACGTTTATGTCGCAGGTTGAAGAAAGCAGTAATTCCCGTTTCTTGTTTTGGACAATGGTGGCAACTGCCTTAGATCACTAAATTAAATAATTATGCAATCACCAAAGCAAAGTTTATAATATTTGATTTAACTAAAGGCGCATAATAAAATTTTCATAACGTTAGATAGACCATAGCAATCTCATTTATTATCAATTATAGTTCTCTTTGTAGTTTTCTTTTAAAGCGTTCACTTAAAACAGGTCAAAGACTTTGTGATCGACCCTTTTTTATTGGTAGTGTAAAGCTCGAATGAAGAGTACTCCCAGTAGTGCAATCATGGCAATTATTTTCCAAATTTTTTTTTGTTTAAAAAAAATACCGAATATCGTATCACTGTTAAGCACAAATGCTAAGTAACTTTTACAAATATAATCAAATAAACCTATTACTTACTTTATTTTTAAATCTTTTTCATCAATGAAATACTTATCTTATCCTTACTATCTATACTAATATTATAAAGAGGCAAGATTTGTATGTTCGTAACAACTAAGTTCGTACAAATATTAATTCATCATAAGGTAGCTACATTATTTATTATTACATTTTTCTTTATTTAAATACATTTTGTCCGAGTGACATAGGCTATATTTTATCCCGATAAATAAATTTCGCCCGTACAATGCCCGGGTGGATCATTAGTAAGTATTATATAATATTATAGATGCGAAAGTGAGTTTGTTTGTTGCGCTTCCGTGCCCTAATAGCTAAATCGAATATAATGAATTCCCATATAGAAGTAGATGGGAACTTGGTTCTTAGCTACAACATCGCAATACTTATAGGCGTAGGGTGATGAAAGGGATGATTTACCTATAAAAATCTACATTATTTACTTTGAATTTTGCAGAATTATTACAAAACCAATATTATCGGGAGCTGATTAATAAATACAGGGATTCCTATAAGTATGTACTTACTAGCGAAAAATGGGTTATTTGTCATTATATTAAGTAAACCTTTTTTGTAACATTAAGTAATATCGTTAAAAAAATGAAAAACAGTAAAATTCTGAGTTTTTCATTAAAATTCAATAATCATAAATACCTATTATGATAATATATTTTTCAGCATTTAATAAGAAGGAACTGTATCACAGTTTTATTGTTAGTGCTTCGTATAGGATCAGTTACTGCGAATAGCCCATTATTTTTCTTTTACATAGTACACCGCACTATCACTTTGTCATCGTTGTAACTTTTTAAATATTTGTCAAAATGACATAGTGTAAAAAGCAAAGTTTATCGTCTTTAAATATCAAAAGCGATAAAAGTATTTGTTTTGATACAAAATGATTTGTTAATACAAAATGTGCATTTTGGAAATAGATATCAAATAATATTTTAGTTTTGATTCACTATTTTAGCGGTAATGACTTACACATTAAAAATAGATATATGGTGTCACGGACTTTTTTTTAGAACTATTTAAGAGATACATTTTCACTCTACATTACATTCATGTAACTTTTATTGTTTTTGCAGTGCAGGTCAAAATGACTCGCAGATGGGAGATTTTTTTCCGTCTTATGTGACACTTATTGTTATATATTGGCCAATTCACTCAATAACTACATAAATTATTATATATATGTAATTATCATATATGAGCTATATTACTGTTAAGTTTCATTAAAATCCATTCAGTATTTTTTAGGTGAAAGAGTAACAAAGATCCATACAAACGTAAGATTGAAATTAAAAGCGTAAGTGGTTAATATACAACTTTAAAGCGTTGTAGATCCTAAACAATCATATTAAATGAAAAATGGTGTTAGAAACCTAAATATGATTTTTGATTATCTAGACAGTGATACCCCACTCGACATATTTTGTCAACTTATTTTTTTTACTTCGTCACAATATTGCGCCCAATTTTGCCCATATTGAATTTTGATTACTATCATATCTTTAGTAGCACTCCCATAATTGAGACGAAACGATTGATGTATGAATCATCAAAATCGGTCCAGGCGTTTGGTCTCTAGTGTGCCACAAAGGAACAAACATACATATATAGACTGTTAAACACATAACCCTGTATGCGCGTCGCGCTTCGCGCTCTTGCATTGCGCAGCCGGGTAAAAAAGATGGAATCGGTAGTTATTCTCAAGTTATGTAGTGCCCAAGGAAAATAGGGATTCATTTTAAATATAAAGATTAGTGCTATAACTTTAGTATTGAATAAGAAAATTTAATTAGAAAAAAACGGCCAAGTGCGAGTCGGACTCCTGCACCGAGGGTTCCGTACAAACCTGAATTTTCAAAAATTTTTTTTTATGATGTGACAAAAATTTACGGTTTTCGCAATTTTTCCTTTATCTTTACTATAAGACTTTACTTCGTACCAAATTTCAAGATTCTAAGTTCACGGGAAGTACCCTGTAGGTTTGGATTCCCGTGCGAGTTTCGAAAATTTGCGGAGCGGCTGATTGCTTTGGCTTAGAAGTTTGATTTTTTCACAGCTCCAAGGGACAGTAGACCTGAGTATTAGATATGAATTTAAGTTTAATACCTCTACGCGTTCCTCAGAAAAACGGTCTTGACTGACGGACGGACGGACAACAAAGTGATCCTATTAGGGTTCTAAAAATTCCACTGAGTCCAGGTTTCAGACAAGCCGAGTAGAATATTTTCTTTTAAGTAAAATTTCTTTAGATTTAAACATCTAGCAGTCAAATGCTTAAATATTTAAATATTATTATTTATATACATACGAGTATTTAGTATTGCATTTTATTTTAATAACAAACTTGGTGTACTATGCAGGAGTTTTTCTTAACGGTAAAGGATGCACTACGCAGTGGTTACGATGAAGGCTGTGGCGGCGTGTGGGGTCCGGACGAACAGCAGCTGGCCGCCAAATTGAGCTCAGTCAAGGAACAAGTCCACAGTGCTCTTTGTGGTGAGTATTTTCTATTTTATGTTTATAAGGGTGGCACCAACGATATTAAATACCCTAGATACACCACGTGCGTTCAAAATGTGTACTAATCAAGAAGTGCTTGAACAAGACTCAAGCACTTCTTGGTTCACATTCACGCGCGGACCGTTGAAAAGTCAACATGCCGCTGGACTCTGTGAAAAAATGCGAAAAAAATACTTATAGTATGTAAAATGACTTTTTTCGACAGGTATCTAATCAATGTTTGTTAATTTAACGCATTTGAAGTAATTTTTGTTATAAAACTTACTATAAACTGATTTAATAGAAAATATTTGTGATTTTCAAATGCATGGTCGGTAATATAGTCGTCTCTTTTCCTCGCGGTCCGTACCTGCTATATCAGTAACAGCGCATTCCAAATTGCGCGTAGAGTCAAAGAAAACATTGAAAATCACCTTTAAAGCATACAGTGTAAGGTCTGCGGAAGAATATAGAAGGTCTATATTCTTCCGCATAAAGCAATGTCGTAGAATATAGAAGGTCTATATTCTTCCGCATAAAGCAATGTCGTAAAATTTTACGAGCTTACACATCGGACTGTCAGAACTCTTTGACGGATGCGTTTTGATTAAGACCTTACACTGTATGCTTTAAAGGTGATTTTCAATGTTTAAATAATGCCTTATATTGTTTAGACTTCGCGATCATCTTACGGAGCTCTGTGGATCGTCCAATGTACCTTGTGGACAGGTTTCGGGCAAGATTTTGTTCGTGTTGGTGTATCTAGATTATTTAATATCGTTGGGTGGCACACGACCATGTATTCAACTTGTACCTCTGGCACGAACCAAAGTCGAATTCGAATAGTTGACACCGATCTTGATACGCGTGAAATGTCAAGAAGTTTTGTATGGCAGATTTTCGATGTGTAACATCTTTCCTCTGGCTTTTGTGCCATTTGTGGGAGTGACTATGTGAAGTGGGACGGAAGCGTGTAACAGGAAGTTTGGGAAGCGCGCGCTATTTGATTTGATTTTAGAACATAATGTTGATGCTTATTCCTTTTGTAGTAGGTTTTATTTCTTTTTGTACTAATATAAGGTGGGGTCAAATTTTACACATCATACGCAACTACTGTAAGGCTCGCTCGTTTTGTTTATTCTCGTTACGTCCTTGACATTTCACGCGCTTCGCTATCGAATTAAACTATTCGAATTCGATATTGGTTCGTGCTAAGCACAGAATACAGAAAGAGGTTAGAAGGGCCTTGTGGGCGAGGCAGCCGCGCCACAGTTATGTGCGAGCAAATGCTCATAACTTGATCAAAACTTAGTTCTGATTGCGTCGTTGCTCAAAAAAAATTTATCCAACCAATCATGGTTCGCTAGTTTGATGTCGCCTCGTTTGATTGGCTTTTATCTATTAGGTGGAAGTGTAGTGTGTCGGTTACCGTACAAACAGTCTTCTAACCTCTTTCTGTGTTCTGTGGTGCTAAGGGTACTGGTTGCTATAATTGTTTACTACATCTTTGTGTATCTCTATTGCACTCTCGAAATCCATCCTCTTATAATATAAAACTTTTCAGTAAAGTGAGGGACACTTGGCCAGGGAGCTTCAGTGCCATCAGCGATGGACGGATTGAAAACTGAGAATCGGAGTAGATACTCATAGATATAACAGACGAAATAATCAGATGACTGTTTATTCATTTAAATGTATTTAATCAGAATATACTTTTATGCCCGTTTGTACCCGGCGTATATGAAAAGATTCCTATAGTCCGTACAAAGCGATGCCTTAGATTATTAAAATTGTAGCTGTGTGATACCACTAAATCTAGCTACAAAGCAAAACCTGGAGTAAAAAATATATTTGATTCGTAAGATTTTTCATCTTATTCCCTAAGAGTTAATCTTTAAGCAATTAAATCTTTGTCTTAGTTACCAAGGACTACCTACACTAAAGTTCTTGAATCAAATATATGAGCTGATCTTGTTTACGCCTCATCTATCTTTATTCGTCTTTAAACAGTTGACAAAGGTGGATTGATGCGTTAAACAGGATAAAATCCTAATTTGAATTAAGAATGTTGGTGCAAGTTCAAAATCTCTTATCTAATAGACAAGTCCGTCCGTCCGTCCGTGGTGCTGTTTCAGCGGCCAAACCGTAAGAGATAGATAAAGAGAATGTTTAAGTTATAAGTTAAGAATAGTCTGATAAGACTACAAACCCGATTTGAGTAACGTAGCACTTCCGGTTTTCGAGAAATCACGTGATTTCTATTTCAAACGAAACCACACAAAATCTCCGAAGTTCTCAATTAATTAAATACATTTTTTTATTTTTTTTGGTGAACATTTGGTTCACTGGTTTGCTAGTGAAATTATAAATTGAATGAACTAATATATATTATAATTGACCTTGTCAGATAACATCGACACGCGTGGCGCTATAGACTCGTTACGGGAACTAGTAGGCGCGGCCCACATATACTTGAGACAGGGGAAGCCCCGGCCTTCGCCACTTCTAGCGACCGCGGCCCGATACGTGACGGATATACTGCACATCTTCGGGGCTATAGAAGGACCACGAGGCGGGATAGGATTCCCCGTCGGTGACGGCGATAATATAAGCGTGAGTTTTCTTATATTTACTCGATCGTTGCCTTTATATTCTTGAGGCAGGCGAAGCCCCGGCCTTTACCGCTGATGATGGACTCGAGGGATCACGGGGCCGGATAGGATTCCCCGTCGGTGACGGCGATAATATAAGCGTGAGTTTTCTTATATTAACTCGATCGTTGCCGTTATATTCTTGAGGCAGGTGAAGCCCCGGCCTTTACCGCTGATAATGGACTCGAGGGATCACGGGGCGGGATAGGATTCCCCGTCGGTGACGGCGATAATATAAGCGTGAGTTTTCTTATAATTACTCGATCGTTGCCTTTATATTCTTGAGGCAGGCGAAGCCCCGGCCTTTACCGCTGATGATGGACTCGAGGGATCACGGGGCCGGATAGGATTCCCCGTCGGTGACGGCGATAATATAAGCGTGAGTTTTCTTATATTAACTCGATCGTTGCCGTTATATTCTTGAGGCAGGTGAAGCCCCGGCCTTTACCGCTGATGATGGACTCGAGGGATCACGGGGCGGGATAGGATTCCCAGTTGGTGACGGTGATATTATAAGCGTTAGTTCCTGTTTATTTGACTTGATCGCTATCCATATATACTTGAAACAGGGTAAGCCTTCGTCTCTTCTACCGGCTGCGGTCCGATATATCACGGACATGTCATATGTGAAGTATTTGAATGAAACGTTTTGTAGTTATTTAGTTAATTTGAAATTGATGAATTTGTTATGTTAAGTAATCTTTCTTCATTAACATGTCATATTTTCTGCTTATAAATAGTTAGAGGCGACAGTGATGCCATACTTGGAAGCGTTAAGCGGATTCCGCGCGCAAGTGCGTGACGCGGCGAGAACAGTTCGCGCGAACGAAGTTCTCGCTCTCTGTGACGCACTACGAGATACTGTGCTGCCGGAAATGGGCGTGCGACTGGAAGACAAACCAGGTAAGACTTTAATACCGAACAATAAAAGATATATTAATAAATCAAGCTAGAGAAAAAGGGTTAAGAGATTTTCGTGCAAGAGTATGTAACGCAGCGCGGACAGTTTGCGTGAAAAAAGTTCTCGCGCTCTGTGATGCACTACGCGATAGTGTGCTACCGGAACTGGGCTTGCCACTGAAACACAGGGCAGGTAGAACCTTAAAACCTTATAATAATGGTTATATTAGCTAATCAAGCTTGAGACACATTATCGCTACCCATTGTTCTGTGACTGTGAGTAAGCAAGGTTGATCTTACTCCTTTACAACAAAGGTCATATTAGCGAATCACGCGGCCAATATTGTCGAAACTCGTGCAGCTAAGGACAAACTATGTAAGACCTTAAGGCAAATCATCGTGCGAAAGAAGTGCTCTCTCTATGTGATGCACCACGTGATACTGAGCTACCAGAACTGCGCATGCGAGTTGAAGTAAGCCTAGCCAGATTGCTATGGCTATCGTTATCGCTTGCGTTTTCATTTTGTTATTTCTAACCGCCGCAGGTTTTCAAATGCCTCGCGCTCTTCTGTTTTCTTTTGTATTGGTAAAAACAAAATAAAAGAAAATGAGCGTAAGGTGTTTGGAAAACTTCGGCGGTCAGAAATAACAAAATAAAATCGTAAGCTAAAGCGATAGTCATAGCGATTCGCAATTGACCCCCAGGTAAAACTTACAATAAAGGTTATATTAGCAATTCATAGCGTTAAACAAGTACTCGCGCTGTGTAAGGCACTACGTGAAACTGTGCTACCAAAACTGCACATACGGCTCGAAGACAATGAAGCCGGGTAGGACCATAATTTATTACATACTGGTTGTGTTTTCAAATCAACCTCGAGAAACGTCGTGACTGTTACACTCCCTTACAATAAAATGATTATCAAAATAATGATTCGGTGTAATGCATTACGTGCAGCCAACGAAAGAATGCGATCCTGACAGATCGTGTCAGTTCCTTAAGTTAACAGAATAAAGTACACTTTCGATATAGTAAAAAAGAGGTACAAATATAAAATCTATTTTTGTCGCCATAAGGAACTGATCTGACTTTCAGGATTGCATTTATTTTTTCTTGTATGTACGTATGTATTAAGATATTTAAATATCAGTTCTTAAAGTAATAAAGGTAAAGCTCAAAATCAATCGTTTAAAATTAGACTCATATTCATTCATATCTCTCCTCTCGGATCACAAAAGCGTAAAGACGTCAAAACCGTGCATTAATACACAACGTGTAAGTAAAAACAGTCTTGCAACAAGTTCTTCTTCAAGCATATTAAAGACACTCGTATTCACACAACCTACCCTCGAATTCCAATATTATAATTGTCAAATAATTTTGTTTTTTAGTAAATAATATTATTGTGTTGTATTGTATTACATTCAAAGAGGTGGAGGGCTGATAACCTGAGATACTGGTTTTTTCCTAGTTTAGATGCCAGCCCGCCATACAAGTGATAAGTCATATAATTAGATAAGTGACCTTTTGACTTAGTGTTTTTGATGGAAAAGAAATAAATAAATATTTCCAACACTCACACCAATTAGCCAAGCCCCAAAGTAAGCACTGTATAATGCGATTCAAATAAGAATAGGAAAGCCAATGACCTCCATCTGTCAAAGGTCGCTTGAAGTACGGTTTGCAAAAAAATCTCGAAACACATTTTTAGCACTCAGCTGATTCTAGAATAAAAACCAATCATTTTTAAACAAACAATAACAAATGTTGATAATTAATATTGTTTTTTTTTCACTTATTGAGTATGAATGGTTGATAACCTAAATCGTCAACCAAATGTCACTTTATGTTGCGTTCAGTATGCCCCCCCCCCCAAGTATGATTAATTTCAATTGATAGTACACAAATTTTAAGAATTTAAATATTTATTTAGTTTTTATAATAAAATTTAAATATATAAATATGCGCTAATGTCGAAAAATAAACATGAGTAAATATATCAAGTTACAATTTATTGTATAATAAAACTATATACGTTTGAATGTCTATATGTTTATTAAATATGAAATAAATGATTTTCTATCTTGATGAAAATTGAGAAAGAAAAATAGTTGAAAGAAATACTAATTTAAAAATTTTTAAAGTTTAGCAAAATTTTTTTGCTCACATTGTCAATTCAAACCTATTTGGTTTGAATTGACAACTATGGCGTCAAAATCTGGCGCCCAGTAGGTCCTATTCTTAGTTGAATCGCATTATAAGGCTTGTGTTATGGGATGCTAGGGTAACGGATAGAATACATATAATGTACATATATAAGTATATTTATATAGAAATATATATATTAAACATCCATGACTGGAGTACAAATGATCGTATTCATCACGCAAACATCTGCCTCCACCGGGATTCGAACCCGGGACCTCTCGAGTCGGTGACACCATGAAACCCGGCGTACAAGCCACTCGGCCACGGAGGTCGTCAGAAAGAAACTGATTATATATAATAATAATTATATTTTTTACTAGACCGAACAGTCGTCAAGCTAGTCAGCAAAGAAGAATTGATGAAGGAAAAAGAAGAGAAAAAGAGGATAGAAGCAGAAAAGTTGAAGAAGAAGCAGGAACTTCTTGAAGCGCAGAAAGCTAAGGAGGAACAAAGAAAAATACCGCCAGCAGAAATGTTCAAGCGGGAGACTGACAAATATTCCAAATTCGATGACAAGGTACTCTCATAATCCTACTAATATTATAAATGTTTGTGTTTTTGTTACTCAATCACGCAAAAACGACTGGATGGATTTGGATGGAACTTGGCACACATCAATACGTAGTACAGTACCTGGATCGAGACAGGATACTTTTTTCCCCATCATAGGGATTATAATATTATTCAATCGGGAGCGAAAAAAGGGACTCGTCAAATTCACAAACAATAAATACGGATAGGCATGCTAGTATGATGATGATATATGAGGAGCTCGATGGCGCGGGTGGTTAACCCGTTCGGCTGCGATCGTTGAAGTTAAGCAACTTTCGCAGTGGTCGGTCAGTGGATGGGTGACCAAAAATCTTCTATCTTGAATTCCTCCGTGCTTCGGAAGGCACGTTAAGCCGTTGGTCCCGGCTGCATCTGCAGTCGTTAGCACCCGCCAATCCGCACTGGGCCCGCGTGGTGGGTCATGGCCCAATCTCCCTATTCTATCCATAGGGAAGGTCTGTGCTCCAGCAGTGGGTACATTAATAGGCTGATGATGATGATGCTAGTATATTTACGTTGATTATTCACTATGTTAGCTTTTTGTTGTCTATAAAGGACAGTGAGCAGGGGTTTCATTCTATGATCTTCTTTCGTCGCAGTCCAGTTTTGTAGTAATAGTATATTTTTATTATAAAGTTATATGACAGTATGAAAAATGAAATACGCATTTATTTTGGCAGAATAGGATGACATGAATTTGACTCGAGAACGAAAATCCTAGGATTAGGGGAGCCTAGAATGATATCGCCTGCTTGTAACCACACCAAATTTCCTGAGAAATGTTTTCGCAGCCTAGAATTTTTATTTTCGTATTTTACTGATACACGAAACAGAATTATAAGGGTCCACTACACACTAATAAATAAAGCACGAACGTTTTCAAAAATCCCATTTGTTTAAACAGGGCCTGCCCACTCACGATTTAGAAGGCAAGGAACTAAGCAAAGGTCTCGTCAAGAAACTGCAGAAGCTGCAACAAGCGCAAGAGAAGAAATACAACGAGTATTTAGCGACCATTAATACGTGTTGAAAAATTTAATTTATCGTACTTTGTAACTTAATCATATATTTATATGTGGACTACGTGCCTTTTAACTGCCATTCCATTAAAGGTCTTTTGCATCATCAGATTAAGAAGAAAAATGTACATAAAAGTTTTACTATAGTTATAAAATGTACATAATAACAGAATCATCTAAAATATCCTTCTCGTCCTTTAATGAAGAAATAAATAAATTACTTAAAAATTACTGGGAGCTTGGTTATGTCGATTTTTTTTTTCAATGATATGTTATGTAACTACACAATGTCTATTACTACATTTTTTTCTATTTCAACGGATATAATTCCATAATAATATTAAATATAATATCAAGAATATGTATTACACTGGCTAATAGGGTATTTATTATATATCTACGGAAATAAGGATCTCCCTATCTTTCTATACATACCTAAGAGAAGTAAGGAAAGAGTGACATATAGTTTGACCAAATTTTACGACGGTTGTGGAGTTAGCTGCGAGTTTTCAGTTCAGTAAAACCATGAACATCAGTGGACTGAGGGGCACCCGCATGAAATATATAAAAGTAGGGAACAGCGGATTTTCCGCTCAGATTGGAGCGCCCGTCTGGGGCAGTAACTTCCACCCTACAGAAGACCACAGTAAAATAACAATACATATTGATGGTGTTTTTCTTTCGAGTGTGTATGCTGTTGGTCGCAGATGACCTTTACAGTATCACCGGGTTTGGGGACGGCGAGATCCTAATGGGACCTCAAGCCGAGAATTGGCGAGTGCGTCTAGAGGTATTCCAGGCGGATGGCATCTCCCCGCGGGGAGAGTCTCCTCTCCGTCTGGAGCCTCTAGACCACTCAAACCTGACAGGGTCGGCTAACTAGAGGGCGTCTCTGAGACTCGGACCTCGGCTCTAGTTAGCCGTTGTCGTGGGGGACGATTGATGGCGTTCTGTTTCTGCTGGTAAGTAGGGCAGGGGATTGGGTTCAGTCCGGCTAGGTGACAATGGCTGCAACAGCACACTTTCTGCCGCATCATCTATCTTCGCGACTGGACTCCAGTTACACTTAACATCAGCTGGGCCCCACCCAGCTGTGATTTGTTATCGTCGTATAAAAATGAAATCTCTAAAAAATATAGGCCGCGCGATTGCGTCTCTCACCCTTATATGCCCAGTTTTACTTTATACTTGTACAGGGAACGTTCAGTCCATTCGTTGTGTTTATAAGTGAAACTCGCGCATATCTTCATTTCGTTTACTGCGCCGCGACTTGTGCTAACTTCACCCATGCCGGCATTGAGTTTTATTCGCACTATAACTTTACCGACAGTGGGCAAATCGTTAATAGGTCGATGATTTTATGTAAGTACAGTGTAAAACAAAATAGCATTTATCATTGGACTGAACATTATGTAATTTGTATATTTATAAGGAAACATAATATAAATATGTGTGAGTATCACATACATCATTCTTAATTTTCAAATTCTGTAATTTTTTGATTATTTTCAGTATTAAGTTTAGCCACTTTATTTATTGTTTCCTTGTTTGAAATAAGACGCTATTTAAAATGCTTAATAAAAAAGTTTGAAAGTTAAATGTAGATTTTTATTACTCCATAGGCTCTTCCTATTTTATCTATAATCCCTGTGCGGGACAGAAAGTGATTTGGACTTACGATTTTTTATTTTTCTCTGATAGCCTTTAGAGCAGCGCCGGTCTGCCTGTATTTTCGTAAGTTTCCGGATGTTGTACGAATGTTATCTTGAGCTAGTCCTAACTGTCCTTCACGTAATCTGTTGATTTGATGATGTTCTTTTGTGCTCGTTGAACAACCGCCGCGCTCACTATATATAATTTGGATCGGGGCTTTTCGTAAGTCGACCGATCGCTATGGCGTCGTAGTTTTAACAGGCAGCTGACAGATACTGCCTGTCTACCCTCGTCCAAGATAAAAAATCGTCCAAGGGATAGGAAAAGGTGGGTAAGCGGATGTAATGTTACGTTTTCATATCTAACGCATTCAATATATTTGAAACCGAACATGACCGCCCCCCAAAGAGCTGCTAAGCTCTTTAGCATATTCTAAAATTGGCGAGTTGATTTTCCGAATAAAGTTGATTTCAATTCCAAAACTAAGTTGATTTTCCGAATTAAGCTGATTTCCGCATGGGTAAGAATGCAAAATCCAATAAAAACTTTTAATAAAGTTGATTTACCTAAAGGATTGATTGCACAAACCGCTGATGTACCATGAAGTTCAATTAAAATGTATATAAAAATTATGTTTAATAACAAAGCTAAGTTTAAAAAAAAGTAATTAAGTATATAAAATTTGTTTTAAATTAATTTGTATCGCATTTTGGCAATGGACACACCTTAGTTAACGCTCTGAGACAAGACCCGGAACTGGTCCTAATCTCTACAACGCGTACCACGCCATCTGTTCCAGGATGGAGCGCAGATACTCGACCCTTTCGCCACCTAAGGGGTGTAGTGTGATCGTCTTTAATCAAAACAAGGTCACCCAACATCAAATTGGGGATGGTTTTACACCATTTAGCGCGCTGTTGAAGATTGTGAAGATATTCACCCTGCCATCTTTGCCAAAAGTGATGCGAGATTTGTTGCACTAGCTTCCAACGTTTGAGTAATGGGACTTGAGAATCATCAGATGTTTCTTCTGGTAGGCTGACCAAAGGCTGGCCGATAAGATAATGACCAGGAGTCAAAGTATCAAGATTGGACACGTCATCTGTAAGAGGACATAATGGTCTAGAGTTCAAAACAGCCTCGGCTCTAGCAAACACAGTGGACAACTCTTCGAAAGTGAGAACCTGCTCACCAACTGAGCGCAACAATAACTGTTTTGCCGACTTGACCGTCGACTCCCAAAGCCCACCGATGTGTGGGACGTAAGGCGGATTCATGTGCCAAGTGACACCCAATTGATCCGAAAGCAACCTCTGAGCCTACAAGTAATTAGCAGCCCCTTGAAAGTTTTTGCCGCAATCCGAGTAAACATCCGAAGGCATTCATCTTCTCGCGACAAATCTATGAAAACAAGTCAAAAAGGCTTGGGTTGTTAAGTCAGAAGTGAATTCAAAGTGAACAGCCTTCACGGCAAGGCATACGAAGACACAAAGATAAGCTTTGAGTGTCTTCGCCCTGCGCATACAAGAAGCCTTTATGGTGAATGGACCTGCAAAGTCGACCCCTACTCTGGTGAATGGATGACTCAGCCGTACTCGACTGGGTGGAAGATTACTCATAAAGGGTTCCAGAGGTTTCACCTTTAGCCTGTAACAGCGATGGCACTGAAACACTCGGTTTCGAACAACCCGTCGAGCAGACAAAATCCAAAACTTCTGGCGAAGAAAAACATTCTTCGACAACATTCGAGTATAGAGGGACCCGCATGAAGATGGAGCAGGTGATGATAATCAATAATTAGATGAGTAAGATGTTGCGACTTAGGTAATAACAGTGGATATTTGACAGCGTAAGTCAAATTGGAGTGCCTGAGTCTTCCGCCAACGCGAAGAAGACCGAGTGCATCAATAACAGGATCAAGGCGATGCAATAGGCCCGAAACAGGTCGACCTTTATTGATGGCTGAGATGTGGTCGGCGAAGACTTCACCTTGCACCAGCTTGACAAGTGTTAAAAGAGAATTGCTGAGTTCATGGACCGTAAGAGGTCCATTGGTTCGAGAGTTGGCAGATCGTGCGTTAGAAATAAAACGCAGAAGCCAAGCAGTGATACGTTGTAACCGAGAAAAGGAACTATATTTTGTGATAAGTGAGTGTCCGAGTGGATTGACTTCAACTGCAGCCAATGAGGAAATGCCGAGGTATCGACGCATGGATGCGTAGGCCATGTGGATGGATCATCTTTTAACCAAAAAGGAGACCACCACAGCTGATGACCTACGAGGACATCGGCAGTAACGCCTCTACTCGCGCAATCGGCAGGATTGGACGCGGAGGGTACGTATCGCCATTTTGCAGATGGTATTAAGCCCTGGACCTGGGAAACACGATTTCCCTCAAAGGTCTGACAGCTGCTTTTTGACTGACATTTATTTATAGAATGAGTACGTATACAATTAAAACACAATTTGTTATCAATGACAAACTTTTTTTGATCAGCTGTCATTGAGTTGAATTTGTGACAAGTATAAATACCATGATCACCTCTGCAGCAGTAACATATATAAAGGAGTTTGACCATAAATGATTTTGATGAATTTGGTTGAGCGCTATTATGGCTGCTAGAGTAAGAAGTAGATTTGGATCCCATGACAGCTTTCAAAACTTTAAGCTGATTTTCCAAAAATTCAAGTAATTTGTTAAAGGTTGGAATGTCATTAGTTGATTCTTGTTGATGATCCGCCTCAAACTTGCTCCTCAAATCCATAGGAAGCTTACATAAAATTATGTGCAATAATATAAAACTCCAAGTGTTTGTTTCAAAACCTAATTCATTTAAAGCTTGAATATTTTCCTTCAGTGCATTAACAAGTTTCCTTAAGTTGGTGTTAAGTTGATTTGTATTAATGTTTGTGTTTAAAATAGCTTCTAAGTGTTTATCTGCAATTAATCTTTTATTTTGATATCTCTTTCAATAAATTGTATGCAATATAGTAATTACCTTCTGAAAGTTCTAAGTGTTTGATAAGATTCAAAGGTTCCCTATCTAGCACTGACAGTAGATAGTACATCTTTTGTACACTAGGTACCTCAACATTATCGTGAACTAAACTATCAAACATTGCTTTGAAGTTAGGCCATTCAGTATAAACACCAGAAAATCTAGGTAATGTTATTTTGGGTAAAGAAAAATGTGTTGACTTATGTACCGTATTTGTTTGCGATTCATTTGACGTTTGAGGTTCGTTTCGTGGAACTAAATCACTTAATATCTGCACTGAATAATATTTATCATAAAAAGTACTAAACTGCTTTTCCAACTCAGCTTTAAAACTTTCTTCTGTTGACATTGCGAATAAAAAGTCGTGAGCATCCTGGAAATTGTTACGATATACTTCAACGTCACGCAAACGAACCTTAAACGATGCTAATAATCCAGGGTCTCGTTGAGATTGTGAACTAAGTTGATTTGCTAAGTTATTTAATGAATCCATAAACTTTGTTTGCATTCAATTTCATAGTAGTAATTGCGCATCTTGGTGCATCATCCGACACTAAAAGTTTGGATTTTCCTTTCTTATCCGATGCCATTATGTATATAAATCGATATTCAATGGAATTTAACTCAATTAACCCTTCAATTGCGGTAGTGCAGCGCTGCACGCCTTCGTGAGTAAAGTCCGTTTGGGGAAGTGTAGATCTGCTCGCTCGTCACCCGCATTCAATTTTTTGCAATTTTGGGAATAAATACAATGCAATACAGTTCAAAGTCTTTTGAATTTTATACCCAGATGAATACACCATTCACTCATTGTGGTGAAGTCGTTCTTATGACCAAACAACCGTTAGTACGACGATTTTAAAATCGAGTATCGGGGAGCTCGCAACTAAAAAGTAATTTTTAAAACAGTTTATTAACAACATTATATTACAACAGTATATTATTTTTTTGCAAAAATCTATTGTTTAGTTATTCAACTTTGAAAAGGTTATCAATGAAAAGCACAAGTATTCGTATAATTTATTCAAATCGCGTTTATGCCACCTAAGGTGCGAAATTGATTTTGTCTACGTTTCCTGTTAAAAATAAAAAGGTTGAAACAATTTATATAGGAAATTACTAAAAAAGAAGGTACATTGACTATCTATAATTGAAATAAAATATTTTGCTGCATGTCGACCGAACGATTTATTAAAGTTATTGAATAAATTTCAAACCGCGTCGAGCGCGCGCTGCGGCCGCGCAATCGTTCCGCAAGCGGGGGGTGTTTTAGGCGGAGGCTTTCCCGCAATTGAAGGGTTAATTTAAAAATTCAAAGGTTGTTTTGAAATATTTTCCAGTGAGAGTGACAATGACAAACGTTTTTTTTTTTTGTTAATTTGTCCCTGTTGGGACGGGCAAAGGATTCTGAGTCCATACAGCCCTGTCTGTTAACTTTTCTTTCTTAAAGTGTTTTGATTGTAGCTTTTACAAATTTGTATAAAGGAATGTAGGTGTCTTTATTTTGTAAAAGTTTTCTCAAGTCGCGCGGGATGGTTTCTTCGCCAAAAGTACTTCGAAGGTCTTGAAGCAGCAAATGAGATGTCCTGTATTGGGCTATAGTAACTAACTTGCATATATTAAATGTAATTAATTAAAGGGCCCTAAAAGTAACTTATTTCTGCAAGTCATTTAATTTTCGAGATGACCGTTTTTTATAAATTCGTAATTTAGTTTCATGAAAATGAAATTGCGTTTAAAGGTATAACGACACATTTTCTTTCAAAAAATGATCAACAATCAAATAAAAATCTATGAATACACATATTTGAATAAAATAACCTAATATTCTTTTATTTTGAGTAGTTTTAACTAACGAAGTCTAGGGAGTTAGGCACTGCAAGTAACTAAATTCATGTGATCTAAAGCCAGTTAAAAAAAAAGTCAACTGACAGGTGACAA